TCAACTTATCCGATTTCAAATTAACTCTTAGTTTGCTATTCTTACTGTAGTTATCAAATAAATAAATCCTAGTCAACAACCATCCATATTCATGTTTTCACTTAAATTTTCTAATTATGTTCACATTTCTTAATTGTATCTAAAAATTTCAAACATATATTCAATTTTAACGATAGATATGTAATAATACATTAAAGCAAACAATAGCTTAAATCATGAGATGGGAAGTAACAAGGTACAAATACTTCGTTACTGTACTCAAGTAGATTTTTCTGATATTTTTACTTTACTTTACTACTTATTTTTATGGCGACTTTTTACTTCTACTCCTTACATTTTTACACAAATATCTGTACTTTCTACTCCTTACATTTTAAAAAATTGGCTCGTTACTTTAGTTTTGAATCATTTCAATGGAGTTACCGTTATTATTTTTCACGTCATCAATACCAAATTCAATCTAATTAGATGGGAATCTACGTTGCATTTGACGCACCACTACAAGATGAATCGGCAGATTCGGCGGTATTCATTGGCGGCAAATCATTGCAGCTTGGTGGCGGTGGCGTTAGCATAGTAGCATGGACGACGAGATGATTGAAAATGAACACAACGGAGATCTAGTCCTATTGGCAGACATCCATTTAAAATCTAGGCAACGGCATGAAAAAAGTGGTTTCTACTTTTACTTTTATACTTTAAGTAAATTTACAAGCCTGTACTTTGTTACTTTTACTTTAGTAAAGAAGTTTAATCAGTACTTCCACTTTTACCAGAGTATTTTTTAACACAAGTATCTGTACTTTTCCTCAAGTACGGAAAGTGAGTACTTTTGCCATCTCTGCTTAAATCATATTATAGGTCATCAAGTCAGTGTCTGTCAGAGGCTCCCTGTAGTGACTTTACATGTCCAGCAGGTGTCAGTATTCATTGACACATTATCAATGCTCTTTGCAAATGTGATGAAAAACTTCATGGGGCCTCATGAACCTTAACTATTAACAGCTTCCATACATAATGGTGAGGCACCAGAGCGCGATTCATTTAGTCACCACTAGATGGGACTAAAGTTGACATGATGAAGCTTCAACTTTTAAGACAGATTTTAATTATTAGAGAAAAACATTAACTATAACTCTGATTTTAGAGTTTTACATTTTATTTTTTTGCCAAGGTCACAACAACCTCCTTGATGATGATTTAAGCCACAGCAGAGTGGGTGTGGGTGGATGGGGGGAAGGCTGCTGGAACAAAAGGAAGCTGATGGATAAGTGCTTTATTTGATTTCATACAGGAGACAAAATGGCAAAAAAGAAACAAGGAAAAATAAAAAGCAGAATTGGTCGCCGCCATGTCTGCTGGTCGGCTGCAGCCAGAAAGGGGCGGAGCTTCAACCAGCAGACAGGACGGCTCATGGATTCATGGAGAACTTTCAAACAGAATCACAGACATAAAGACTTGGACAGAGGTGGACCTGAAAGCGGAAGGTTTGCTGTCCTCTCGTCCCTTTAAAGACCAAATCCTCGGTCTGAAACCTTCCGCCTCCAGGTCACACGGCAGCGGTAGTGATCACTTATTTTTATTCAAGTTCGTTCTGTAGTTTCCATTTCTAAGAAATAAAAGGCTCAGCATATACAATGAAAAAAGAAAAGACATTTAACAGTCGGTACAAAACTCAGCATGCAAGAAAACAGACAGAAATCAAACATGACATGAGCAGGAAACCAAAACAGACGGATGATTTTAATCAGGAACAGATTCAGAAGCCCCGCCCTCATTAATCTGATGGGTTTCAATCACATCGAGCACAGAGACGATGAATGTTGATTGGTTGGAATGAGACGCAGCCAGTTTGTCCGGCGCTGCCTTTTAGATTTCAGGCCAAACAGGAACCAGTGACAAAATAAAGCAAACATCTCGTTAACATTCAAGGAAGGCGTTTAAATAACTGCAACGCTTCTGAAGCAGCAGATCCCAGTGTGAAGAAGTCAGTGTTTCACTGCATCAATGATTTTTATCTCATTCATAAATATTCTAGAAAAAAAAAGAAAAACAAGCACTTTCATGTTGATAATTTGTGGTTTCAGGCGTCTCTTTGCTTCTTTTAACATTTCGGGAGAAGAAACTAATCGGCTCAGTTGTTTTCCATCGTCCCCAATTCATTTCGTCTTAAAATAAGTGCATTTTTCCTTGAATTGTGGAGCTAATTGAGACAATTTACATTTCAAATGCTAAGAAAATAATTGCATTGTCTTATTTCGACTGCATATTATATAATTTTCTTCTTCTAAGAGTAAAAACACTGATTCCATCTAATTTACCTGCTCAAATTAAGGCTAAATAGACATTTTTACTTATTTCTATATCGTTTTAGCAGCGCTGCTTTTACTCAGTGTAGGACTGAAGCAGAGCGACATTTAAACAGGAGTGCAGAAAAGCCAGTTTAAATAATAACAAGAATCCTATGATAAATAAACCTCTACGCTGATGATACACTCATTTAAAGCTTGATGTAAAATCAAACAGTTTCCTATTTTTTTGGTCAAGTGTTTTCTGTCCTTTTAGGCTGAGTTTATTCAAGCTTTGCTGCCTTTATTTATAATACATGCAGCATAATGGAGGCACCATCGTTCATCATCCCTCTATGTACAAACCTCCTCCGTCTTTAAATAAACTATAAAAGCTGATCATTTCCATCAGTTCAATAAAAACAAAATATTCATGATGAATTTGGCAGCTTTGAAAGTTCGTAGTTAAAACCAACTAAATCTCTTACTTGGCGTCATTTAGGATCGCCTGAGGAAAACGTTCCTTAAAGCTCCTTCCTCTGAACTTAATCAGAAATTAAACTGAAACTGAAGCTAATCGCACCGAGAATAAATAGATTTAACCCGAACATACAGACTGATCAGATCTAATAAAGGAATAAATGACATGGAAACAGTCGAGGCTTTTGAATCCTACATACAGAAAAAAGACTAAAATAAAATGTAGACATTAAAAAAGTCGTGGAAAATAAAAACTATTTCACATATGAGAGGTTTTTTTGCTCCAGCAGCGACATTCCGAGCTGAAGCTCTGATCCCAGAGCCTCTGATTGGTTCCTACAGGCGGCCCGGCGGGTCGGGAACGTCTAAAGTTTTCATTCAATAAAATAAAACCTTTTTAAACAGCTGCTGCTGCGAGGAGAACGGCTCAGATAATACTGACAACAAGCAGCAGAATGTAGATCTCTCCTAGAGAATACCCAGAAAACCTTCACCTACGATTTACAGATGTTCTGTCAGATCATCATACCCCATCAGACCAGCATACATACAGTCAGTACGCTTCTGTAATACGACAGATTTGGGTTTATCCCTTTAGTTTTGTATGAAAAATAGACTTTAAACTACCTCAAAGTGTGTGTATCCCTTTAGTCATTGTCGTGGGAAAAAAGTGTTCAACCATTCACCCAGTTAAATAAACGGAGATCGATGGATTTCACTTTATTTTCTTATCTTTGCAAAGAGAGAAGAGCTCATCATTCGGCCCCTTAGGCGCAGTAATCAGCCCTGTTCTGACCGGACAGAGTCCGTCTAAAAAACTAATTGGCTTTTCATGGGAATAAGTATGTTTTGTCTAAAGTTTGTTTTTGATCCCAAACTAAAGGTTATTAATTATGGGTATGCTGGTCTGACAGAACAACGGCAGTGATCCTGGTGGAGGATCATGGGAAATAAAGCGGAACGACGTTAAACTCTGTCCGGCTCTCGGTTCTTCAGGTTTTCCTTCCATCACTCAGACTTTCCTTCAGAAATTTATAAAATGAACAAATTGAGAATAAAGAATCAAACCAATCAGGTTCTGCTGCTACCTGAAGATAAAATTAAACTTCTTTTGTTTTACAAACGTCCAACGAAATTCCAGGAATGATTAGTTTTGGAGTCCCTCAAAGCCGAGTCCTCGGGATCCTTTCATTCTCTGGGATTCGCCTTTAAATGGTAAAACAGAAGTTAAGAACTGAGAGTTTTCTCTGCAGCCGACCTGCAAACCTTCCAGACAAACCAGATTATTTACAGACTGATCAGCCGGAAGGAGCAGATGAGGGACCAGAGTCTGGTAGGAACAGGAAACGGATCCCGGGTCTCTCCTTCTGACCAATCAGACTGAAGCATACAGGATGTAACTTCCTGTTGAAGGAGCCAATTCAAACTGCTGCTGCATTTCGGGGGCGGAGCTAAACGGTGGCGTTTCCTGCATTACAGCGTCCTGACATTTCCTGTGAGCTGATGATGCTGCTTAGCGTCATTGGATGGACCGTACTACAGCTTCATGGCTAACGCCAGACGTCGCCATGGTTACATAAAGGAACAAAGACGAAACCCCAGGAATGACGATCCGACGATCATCCGAAGGAACAGAACCTTTTGGGGATTTTTCTAGATATACAGAATCTGATCGGATCAGAATTTATAGCAGAAATAAAATAAAAAAACAGGTCTTTAAATGAACCTGAAGCCCAAATAAAACTGAAAAGTTCTGATGAAGCGATAAAACCTCAGGAAGCTCCAGCAGCTGCTCCTCTTCCTTCTGGACCGGTTCTTAGTGACCCGGTCCAATTATCGTCAGAACTTTAGGATCTCTGGTCGGTTCTGTGGACCTTTGGTTTGGACCAGAACCTGACCAGGCAAAGCTGGTACCGGTACCAGCCCCTGGATCCATGCTCAGCATCTGGCTCCGACTGAAAGTTACTGGAAGGTTTTTAGTGTTTTCAGTGAGGAAGGAAAACAGAGACCCGCGGGCCGGACCAGAACTTTACGGTTCCTTTCTGTCAGTCATCGGGCAGAAAGCAGGTGAACGTTTGGACCATCAGCAGCTGATGGTTCTGGAAGGCAGCTAATCTGCAGCGGAACCGACCCAGAAAGCATCAGAACCCTGTGGGTCGGCTGCTGCACCGCCTCAAAGTAACACTGCCTGCTTATTGCTTGGTTTTCTGAAAAGTGTGGTGTGCTTTTTTTCCCCCCTTCACCTCCTGAGGCCCCAAAATAAAATCCAGTAGAGTAGCAGGGGCGACTTCAGGGGACAGACAGGATTCATCCTGCAGCTGGACGCTGCATCTGTTCAGAGATCATGGGGCCCTGAGGGGCCCGGGGCCCCTGGTATCAACCTCTCAGGTTTTTAATTTACAGCTGAGAATAAAAAAAAAAAAAATTTTTTTTTGTTTTTTTTTTTTAGGCGAAAAAAGGGAAATGTCTGTCCCTCCCCCACCTGTTGCTGTGCACTGCCTGTGAGCTGGCTTATAGCCTCAGCACTGTATAAATGCAGCTCAGTTTTCTGCAGGAGGTCAAAGGTTAAAGCTATCCGGACCGTCTGATAACGGGTCTGGCAGAGATGCTGCATCCTTTAAGTATTAGAAATACTTCAATATTCCTATTTTCTGCATAAATTAAGATTTTTTTTTATCTTTATCTGAAACGGTTCCTGAAGAGTTCTACGGGGATAAATCTGCGTCCAGGTTCAGACCCCATGAACACGGAACACTTCCTGTTTCCACATCCAGAACCATTTCCAGGAAAAGCAACAGAATCCGCCTCATTCTGCAGAACCGGCGGCGAGAAGAACATCCTGAAGGAACCTCGATAAAACAGAAACAAACAAGCGTTTCCCCGCGTCACCAGCAATAAATAGACCCGCATATTTCCCAGTAATAAATATGAGCTGGAGCCGGGGTGGGGGGGTGGTCACTCGGCGGGTTTGTCCATCCTATAGACTACAGTGGTGGAGCTGTCCTGGTCGGTCTCAGTGGGAGACACTTTTCTCCAGAGCGGAGCTTTCAGAGTCAGCTCCTGTTGGAGGCTCTCGTAATCCATGGGTCCGAAGATTTGCTGCTGTTTCAACCGACACGGATAATCAGTTAGTTTCAGAACCGCCGCTTCTTTCATCAACACAATCAGACGTTTAACGTTCGGTTCAGGAGGAGCTTAAAGGGGAACGCACATCCGGAGCGCCGCGTCAGGAGGCCAAACACTGCAGGTCTGAGCAGACCGGTTTGGGCCAGCAGGGGGAGCTGTGAGACGTGTGGCGCCTCCGGTGGTGCGTTTCCCTCTGAACCAGAGCAGGTCAGAAGCTTCCATCAAGTCGTCAGCAGGAAGAAACTCTGCATACAGGCTCAACGCTCATCACCATGGAAACTAAATTCAGTTTCTTCAAAATTACATTCAGATTTTTTTTTTGTTTGAACTTTTGAACCAAAACTGAATTTTCAGTTTCTTTGTGTCACAGAATCAGCTCCTTAATCCAGAATAATCAAACCCAGATTGATGGATTGAGATTTTTTATCAGGTTAAACTAATGAGCTGAATAAATGTCATTAAAGCCTAATTTTCCATCAAAATGATTTTTTTTTTTTAAATCTACACAAACTCTAGAAAGATGCAGATTAAAATGTATGAAATAAAAATCTTTATACTTTTCTACAGGTCCATAATATATAAATATTTACTTCTGGTTATGATGCCAACATCAACATTATTCTGCACCAACAACAGGCTGAAGATTTGCTAGTAGCTCTTTTATAAATGGCTGCTTCTAAGTGCTATATTTCTAAGATTTAAAACAGAAACAAGAAACAAAAAAAAATGTATTCAGTTTTATGCTACGTTCAGACCGCAGGCGCATAAACACGAGCGGCTGAAGCATCTTTGCTGCTCTAGCTGCGCGGTGGTAAAGTGGTTCTGATGCGCTGTGGGCGGAGCTACTCTATCCTTTCTCTGCCTGGAACAATGGCAGCTATATTAGCTGTGATCAGCGGGTAGAAAGTAGTTAGAATCTATGTTGAAGTGAGAAAGGGAGGTCACTGCTAGTTAAAGGTTGACTATTGCTAAGCTTAGTTAGCTAGGCTAAGATTGTTTAGCTAAACAAAGTTAGCATTAGCATTGGGGACCTGGCACCCAGCTGGCAGAACAGGATAAAGGAGAGCGCCCCTTAGTGGCCAGATTACCGTTCTTCAGCTACCAGTAGCTGTTAGCTAAGGATGCTAAAGATGCTCTATGTTCATCCACATGTGATTATGACCAAACTGACCACGCTGTAAAATAAAAGGATTTAAAATCCATTAATCTGTGGTTGATTAGTTTGTGGTTAAAGAATCCGGTTGTCAGACACAAAGAAACAGAAAATTTATTATAGAACAAAAAAATTATAACAATAAAATTTTTTGAAGCAAAACAAATTTAAAAAGCTAAATTAATTTTCAATTTATTTAAATTAATTTTCAATTTTCATTTGAATCTAAAATTCAAACAGTTTGGATCTGAATCTAATTTAATCTGCTTGTATTTTTAATCCCGTCCAGAACCAGCGGTTAGAACCGAGGTTCTGGAACGTTAGCGGTCAGAACACCAGATGGACCCAGAGATGGTCTGGTTCTGGTTCTGGTAGCTAATATTAAGGCCTTCCTGTTTGGTTGACTGACGGAACCTTCTGACCCACCTGGTTCTGGGTGGTTCTAATGTTCTGCTGCTTCGGGCCGAGCCCGACAGGAGGGTTGCCTTGGCGACCAGCAGCGGTAACCAGAAGCTCCTTACCCGCTGGTCTCCGCCCTCCTTGCGAGGATCGTGCTTCTTGGCGAAGTGTCTCAGGTTGTCGTAGTTGTGGAAGTTGAAGAGCTCCACCAGGTCCTGAAACGAAACCAGAACCGCTCAGCTTCAGCCTGCAGGTGGCGCTCACACCTGCTTCCTGTCAGTCCCCGGCGCCGCCGACCGGGATGCTGTTCATTAACCAGCATCAATAAACCCGTCCAGTTCTGGAACTTTCCGCTCATTAATCGGCTCTTTGGACCTCAGAGAGAAGGAAAGGTTCTGTAGAACCAGGCGGTTCTCTTACCGTGCAGAACTGGATCCCTCGGACCGAGTTGCCCAGTTTGTCCAGTGGAGGCGACCAGCACATGATTCCCATCACGTTGGGGACGACCAGCAGGATGCCTCCGGCCACGCCGGACTTGGCCGGCAGTCCGACCTGTTGGGGATGGATCAGAACCGGTTAGGACATCAGAACACAGACCGCCGCCGCAGCAGCCGCTCGGGAGGAGGCGGAGTCTTCCTCACATGGAAGGCGAACTGTCCGGAGAAGTCGTACATCCCACAGGAGTGCATGAGGCTCAGCGTGTTCCTCACCGCCTCCGGGCTCAGAACGCGCTCGCCTGTGATTGGACAGATGCCGCCGTTGGCCAGGGTGGCGGCCATGACGCTGGCGCTCTCACACGTCACCTCGATGGCGCACAGCTGGAGACAGAGAGGACACACGACCAAATAAGGACCAGGAAGCACAGAGTCATCGAGCGTTAAAAAAAACAGCTGGACTGACCTGGAAGTACAGGTCCAGAACGGAGGTCATGTCGGTTCCTTCAGGGAAACACTGCAGACAAACAGAACCGCAGGTTCAAAACAGCGTTCATCAGAACGTCCAAACAACCGCAGGTTCAACCCAGTGTTTGCACTGCAGGCGACAGAAATCCTGGACGACTTTGAAAATCCCCCCGGACATTGTTTTAGTTATGAAAAGTAGGACATGTCCAGGAAAAAGAGGACGTCTGGTCCCCCTACCATATCAACAATCTGATGTTTCAGTGAGTGAGTTCTTGTTGCTATGATGCGTCTTTGCTCAGCAGCTGGGCTCGTTATAAACCAACCAATCAGAGCACAGCTCATCTAAATATTCATGATCAAACCATAAAAGGAAGAAAAGCTGTGGTTTCATTCCAGGGCTTTAGACCAGGCTGCATTAGGGCTCACAGAACAGCTAATATGCCATTTTCAGCCCAACCAATGTTACACACCCTATTAGAGACCTGAAGGACCAGATACCCTATAGAATCATTCTATCACCCTATTAGAGACCTGAAGGACCAGATACCCTATAGAATCATTCTATCACCCTATTAGAGACCTGAAGGACCAGATACCCTATAGAATCATTCTATCACCCTATTAGAGACCTGAAGGACCAGATACCCTATAGAATCATTCTATCACCCTATTAGAGACCTGAAGGACCAGATACCCTATAGAATCATTCTATCACCCTATTAGAGACCTGAAGGACCAGATACCCTATAGAATCATTCTATCACCCTATTAGAGACCTGAAGGACCAGATACCCTATAGAATCATTCTATCACTTTAAACTAACTCAACAGGCGTGTTTCCCTTAGGTCATGCACAAAAACACTATTTATGGTAAGACTGAACATAACCACTATGTTATTTTCTCTTTTTTTAATAAAGTACATTAAAGTGTACCGATAGCAAACTGTCGTTTGGATTTTTCGTCTTGGAAAGGACTTTGGACTTAAACGCTTCCAGGATTTAACTTTGGGTTCAGAGGATGGAACACCTGTATGGACATTATTATAAAAAATAAAAAGAACAGACAGTTTTGGACTTTCATTTATTAGGGATGTTTTTGTTTGTTTTTTGCAGATATAAAAGAGATATTGAGTTTACTTATAAATTGGTTGTGAAGGTTTTTGGGTTATTGATCATTTATACTGAAATACTATTGAATGAAACTTTGGATTCTTGGTAGTAGTGCGACATTTTTGTTATTATAATTTTTTTTTTATAAATCTTTGTTTGCTAACAAAAATCAACATAATCGTGCTAAGTGGTTGGATTTCTTTTTTTCTTTCGTCTCAGATTTATATTGTAACACTTATTGCCTGTTTACCTGTAAAAAAAAACTTTGTGAGTTCTGCTTTTATTTCTACAAGATCGCCATACACTTAAAAAAATACAGAAAAGTTAGTAATTAAATAGTTTTTTTGTAGATGACTAAAGGGACACATGCCTATTGAGGTTTAAAGTCCATTTTTCATACGAAACTAAAGGGATAATCAGGTATTGACTATGAGTATGCTGATCTGAAAACAGCGGGTCAGAGCAGCTGCAGAGACGCTGAGACCCGATTAGAGGGAAACCGACTCGGATCAGAACCAGAACCAGATACCGGATCCCAGAGATCAAACCTTAGAACGGCTCCATGGATCAGAGTCTGATCAATAATCATATACTGTAACAAAGTGATGCAGTTAAGCCTTCTGATCCGCTCGCGGCCCCGCCCCTTCTTATGATGTCATCATACGGCAACTCTATTCAGACAAACTGGTTTGCTCTGGTTTCTAAAGGATCTAATCTCTTTCAGAGTCTCATCATATTATTCCCTATATTTTTTATATTATTTTACATTTAATCGTCGATCTAAAGTAGAAAACAATCATGATCGTCTCAGAGGCAAAGAGTCAGGAGAGTCAGTGCTGCACAGAAAACGCTTCATATGTTTGTTATAAATGTGACCAAGAGGTGAGCGGGGAACGTTCGGAGGAATCAATCAATTTCTGTAAATAAAATTGCATTTTCAAACTTCCAACCGGTTTATTAAAACTATTATTTATTTTACTGAATAAATTTTTATACAAATTTAGATCATAAATAATATCATATAATACATATATATGAGACCTGTTTTAAGGTTTATCTAATCGCACACTAGAACCATTTCAGTCGATGACATCATCACTACTCATTTGCTTCATTGGGTAAAACGTCGCCCAGCCAGTGATCCTGGTGTTAAAGCTTCTCCTGAACGGATCGACTCACTGACCTTTTTCTCCTTCAGGTAGTAGCCGATGGCGAAGTTCCGGTCCCCCGACTCGCGCTCCGACTGGAATCTGTCAGACACACAGAGAACAAACCGTTTTCAGACATGTCTGAGCTGGAATCCTGCAGGAATGTGAACGCTATGAGCAGAGAACATTCCCAGCATGCAGCGGGGTCAGAAGCAGGGCAAATTACAGCACAGAAAAAAGAAGAGAAAAGAAACGATTCAACGTCTAAAGATCTGAAAACATCCAGATAAACCTGAAGATGTTTTCATGAAAAATCAGGGAAAGATAGAAGAGAAATCTGAGCCGTGGTTCTGACTGGGGATGGTTATCAATACAACCTTCAGAAATCTATGAAAAACTAATTATTTTTAACACAGCTTTAGTTCTGACTTAGAGGAGCAGACGTGGCGCCACTTGGTTCCTCCTGTTCAGGAGCGTTTTAAGATTTAAATCAATAATAAAAACGTGGAAACTAAAAGTTTCTGCACTAAAACTGCTGCTGGCAGTAATGCTACGTTCAGAAGCAGCAGAAACACTTCATTTCTGATGCTTCTGCCAGTTTAGTTCTGACGCGCGGCTGAAGCATCTCTGCTGCTCTAGCTGCGCGGTGGTAAAGTGGGTCTGATGCGCGGTGGGCGGAGCTACCCTATCCTTTCTCTGCCTGGAACAATGGCGGCTATATTAGCTGTGATCAGCGGGTAGAAAGTAGTTAGAATCTATGTTGAAGTGAGAAAGTCCTCCTGAAAACATGGTCTGTGCAGTCAGTTCATCCAGATTACCATCCTGCCTTCAAAGATTATTTCTCTGTGGGAGCCGCTCAGACCCCCACATACCGGCGCTGCGCTGTCACTGGGAATCCCCAGCAGCAGCTGCCTCAGGCCCGCTCGCCTCTCCAGGGTTTTCCCCTCCTGTTGGTGGCGGCTGGAAGTAGATGTTAGCGTTTTTCAGGTCTGTGCTACAAACTGCAGGCAGCAGGATAATAAAAGCCAACATATTCTGCCGGCAGGTTTCTACATTTGAAGTTAATTTAGGCGTTAATAAACTGTTTCAGAGGAGTGATCATAGCGCTCTGCATCAGCAGTGCTGCGTCTGACTCCCTGCCAGCTCCCAGATCTGAGCTGCTCTAAACGATGCGGGACCTTTAGCTGGGCCTTGCTGCACGTCAACCATTGATATTGCTAATAAACCAGCTGCTTCTGCTGCTTTCTGTCTGAATGTTAACCTGCTCCGCATATCCATCTGGAAACCTTCCGTTGAAGTAATTAGCTGATGTTGGTGATAGACGGGCCAAATAAACCAATCAGATCAACGAAGCATATGACGTACTAACAGAGCGACGACGAAGAGGAGCCAATTGATAGATCAAACTCTTGCTGAAACCAGTCGGGAGAAGAGCAAAAACATCTTTTCCTCTGAGAAAAGCCTCCAGAGCAGTGTTTTGCTCTTCTTTCAGTGAAGAAATACTCTGTAATTCCCATAAAACTTGCTCGATAGCCACGCTAACGCTAGTTTCATCGGCTGAAACCGCCATGTTCTTTAGACTGAACTGTCGCGCTTCTCGTTGCGTCACACCTCAACCCGCCTCAAAGCCAACGCTGATTGGACGTTCGTTTGGTGAACGGCTCCAAATTTTCTTTAACGGAGAGTCTCCAGACTGATCTGCGAGTGAAACCTTGAAAGCTCGCGAGATCAGGATGGTCTCAACAGGCTAGCTGAATGTAGCATCCCAGAAAAGTTAAAATCAATCCACTGGACTTTGTTTCCAAGTTTGAAGACGTTTCTCTTCCATCCAGGAAGATTTTTCAATCCAAAATGTCAGAAATAGCGTTTAGTTCCAGGTTTTATCCAGCAGCCCAACAAAGTCGGGTTTTAGTTTAGAAAACATGCAAATAGAAACGGATGAACGGGTCCCCCCCTTTGGAATGGGGGTCGTTTGGCTTCTTTGTTAGCCTGCAATGCCCCATACCTGTCTATGTCTCTGAAAGGGGGGGCGTTAGAGGGAATTGTTAGCCTGGCTGTTGGGGTTGCAATGATAGCAGGCAGGAATCAACTCTATCGCTGTATTGCAGGTTTTTAAAGCTGAAATCCTAGTCCCGCCCCTCTGGGCGTTTATGGACTCAAACACGGCCCTTTAAAAGCAAGATGGCGCTGAATGAGGAGAGACTCACGTGGCGTTGCTGAAACCAACGTACTCGCCTCCTGCCATCTTCTTCAGATAGTTCATGACCTGAAAAGAAGATGGAAAAAAACGTTTTTGTCACGATGCTGATCTGGAAACATGGCGAGGGGGCGTGGCTTCCTGCCTCTTTACTCACATAGTCAAACTTCTCGGCGTTGCTGGCAGTTTGCTGCGGAGAGAACAGAAGAAGAAGGCAGTGAGAGCAGCTCCTCCAGTGCAGGAAAGGTTAAAGCTACTGATTCAATCACCAATTAGGACCTAAACTCTGAGCTCTGCCTCCATGAGGGGCGGCCTAGCGCTACGATTGGCTTAGAGACAATCTCTGCCTGGAGCTTTAACTAGATTACACCCTCCAGCTAATCTAGAGTAGAGCTGAGTGGCATGGTGTCTGGGTGCATCGTGTGCAGGTGGCGCTCTGCATTATTTGTTACGATAATGCTGGTTTGGATGCACTGAAGAAGTTATCAGCCCAAAAATTAACAAACAGATGGAAGAGAGGATGGGAGAGAAGGAGGAATGGTCCTCAGTGTTCCTGAAGCTGCCTGCTGCCTCAGAGAAAACACGGCAAAGGAAAAAAAAACGGCACACATGCACGTTTAAAGTGTTACACATTCAGAGGAGAGCTCCGCTAGTCTGGTTAACGATCAGAGCCCGTTAGAGGCCGCTGGCTACGCTAGGTCACAGATGGAGGTGTTAAACAGTCACTACATGGGTCTACAGAGCTGATTGGAGGAGAGGACAGAGAGAAAGAGGGGGGGGGGGCAGGGTAGATATGGAAAAGGAAGAAAAAATTACCAACGTCATTTGACCTGCAGCAGCAGTCATTATTTCCCACAGTTCCTACGTCTGAAAAATATGCAACATACACACAAACAACAACAACAACATGTAGCCTTCAAGCAGCAGGTAACAACAGTATGGGGCGGTGCCATGGCAACGCCCCCCCCAGCCCCCACCCCCCACCTACAGCGGCCGGCCCAGCGGGGGCCGCTGCCCCAAACAGAGAGAACACATCGAGCAGAGAAACATTTCTATCGCCGCTGATAGAAAGAAAATAAAACTTATTGCTGTTGTAGGGGTGGGGTCAAAGGTCAGGGGCGGTTTAAACACGTTTAAACAGTTTTATTATAAAATATATATATTCCAGGAGCTTATGAGCTACCTGCTCCTATCGGGTCACCAGCTGCAGTCCGCTGCTTTACAGAAGCTGGAATCAGTGAGCCTTTAAAGTAAAAGTTCTTTAAATCTGAAATTATTCCATCCAGTAAAGCTCATTCATTTTCATGTGAATGTGTTTGTCAAAGAACACTACTGCCACCTACTGGTTAGTGACGTCACGGTGCGGTATCGGCTGTTGATCAAGTCCCAGTGCTGTATCTGGTGTTTTTAGTGATCAACACTAAATTCATTAAATCACCGCGAACATTTTAGTTTTAGGTATAAATAATGATCCATTGATTATTTCTTGCTAACCGGACTTCTTCTTTCAGCCAGCTGAGCAGCAGTCAGCAGCAGCAGATACTCTGGATCTCCAACATCTAAAAGACTTTAAACCAAATGAGTTCTGGTCCAACATGCGGCCCTGGTAGAAAATAACACGGCAGCCATTTTGGATTGGGAGAAACTCCAGTGTTAATGTCAGAGCTCTGCCTCTAGAGGGCGCTCCTGCTGATTTAGACTACAGGTAACTCGGGTTAAACGCGCTTATTCTGCCGACGCAGTGTTCTCCTTTTATCCAATGGGCTACGAGTTTATATTCAGCTACTGTTCCAGGTTAAAGGATCTGTTTGTTTTACAGACGGCAGCCATTTTGGAAGTGGAGGTGCAAGTTGGAGGAAATCAGAAGTTTGATTTCTCTACTACATCGTTTTACTCAATAAAGTAAATCAAGACAAATCACATTTGAACTGAGAAAGCTTCCTGTAAGGAGGCAAAACGTCTTCAAATCTTGGAAACCAAGTCCAGTAGATTTAATTTTTTTGAATTCTTTTTAACTTTTACAGAAAGACAATTCTTCTAAATACCGATTTCTAAGAGATCCTTTTTATCATCTTATTATCCCCAGAAATCAGGTCAAACATCCGTTTGTTTTACCCAAATTTAGTCTCAACAACGACGCCGAAAATCTGGGATCTACAGGAACGACAACGCTGGAGGATGTTTAGAGGACAGCAGATCTTCTCTATAAAGCAGGCGTACAATGAACAATTTTTTCCCTTTTTTTGGGCCGATTCTCCAGTCGTGCGTCATGTAGTGAACAGGGGAGAACGAGGGGCAATCAGACCACGTCCCGAACAGGAACCATAACGTCGGGAGAAAATCAGTTGGCCGTCGCCAGGAGTTTGTGGACAAACTCTGCTGTTGAAGCAGAGCTAGGAGCCGATTTACCAGAACCTAGCGCGCTGCACATGTTAAAACAACGGAGTTCTTCTTCTTCCAGATTGACGAGTCTGACCAGCGCCATCTCTCTGCAGGGAGCATGCCATGGTTTTTTTGACGTAAGCAGGTAGATCACATCAGAGCGTCGGATTGCACAGTGTGACAACAAACATCGGGAGCTGAGAACTTTTAATCTCTGCGGTTTTGTCGTACAGTTTGAGCTTTAGCTGCGAGCAACGATTAAAAAAATTTTACGATGTATGCCTTAATCAGCTGTATAGAAACAAAAACAAAATGTCTAACAGGCCTTTAGCTGGTGGAAGGTTTTTCTACATTAGAGGAGGAAACTTTTCCACCAACTTAGAACTTCAACCAATATGGCCGCCATGAAGCAGTAAAGGAGATCGCTCCAGAGCCACCGGGTCGACCAGCCGGTTATAAAGGAATAAAGGTCCATCCATAGAAACAAAATGAATGTTTTCTGAACAGGGCTGTAAAACTAGGAAGCTTCTAAAGAACTTCCTGTTTGGATCGGCGCCGCTGCGGCGAACCGATAGTAAAGGGCTGGTTATCCTCCTGCAGCCGTGTGTCACAGTTCGATTGTCGCAGGAATGACGCAGATATTTTTGATTTATGCCCAATTTTTAAGCGTGGTCTGCGTTATGTTATCCCACGTCACAACGCAAGAGGGACTAACAGAAGTAGCGAGGATTGTGGGCGTCCGTGTGTCGGTTTGACGAGCTTGTTCGCCGTCTACAACCCCTCATCCAACGGCGGACGACCCACAGTTCACCCGTGAGTGTTTCCCAAAGACTGGCTGAAGTGCTGTGTTAGTTTGGTTCCAACCATCCACCAGAATGAGCGGATGTGAGTCCCAGAAGAATCTCTGGGTTCTCAGCTGGTTTACCTGAACCAGAACTTGCATCTCGGTCCGTTTGGAGCGTTTCTCTGCTTCAGGCTCATAAATCAGCAGAAAGCAGGCGGTGACCCGTCACACCAGGAGAACTGGAATATCTAGTTTGAACCGGTTTTGTTCTCCGGCAGCCTGAGGAGGATTCCTCTGCTCTGCCTGAACATCAGAACATCTCGACCCGCCAGCTTTACCGCCGCCACGGTCGACCTGACGCCGCCTGGATTCAAAGTCATCAGAGCGGAAATCAGCTCCAGCAGAACAAACATGTTCATCAGGTGGAAACGGCATCTGATTGGGTAGAAAGCAGAGACTGAACATCTGGATCAGAGGGGGGTGGGGGGTAGGCTAACCCTCCCTGATGTCCCTCTAGCATCGGTGCCGCCGATCAACATGGCGCAGCTCAGAGATCTTAAGAGAAACAGCTGAGAAGAGAGGAAAGCGGAGCTGCTTTTACCTTGATGAGGGACGTGCAAACGATGGCGCCGGCGTTCACCATGGGGTTGTGGGGTTTATCTGCAGGGAAACGGGATAACTTAGCTGGTTTAACAGGAAACGCCTCAAAGAAACAAACATTTCAACCATCAGAGCAGAAACACAGCAGACAGACTGACCCTGACAGACAATTTACACCTTTAAATCATAGATAGATATATATAAAACAATATGTTTAAATTACCTTTAATAACAATAGAGAGCATGAAATTGTACCGATGTTCTTGAAAATTTGGTTTCAAATTTTAAACATTTTATTTTTAAACAGCTCAAAGCTTTTCACTAATAATTCTCCCACTTTATGACTTTCAGTGTCAGAATTAGACCTAGATCTAGATAGATTAGAATTAGATCAACCAAACAGGAAACAATGCAAAAACAAAAACAAAAAAAAAAAATAATCGGGAAAATTAAAAAGGGAAGAAAAAAAAATGCAGAATGAAAAAAGAAATTAACCTTAAATTATTAAATCAACCGTCCTAAAATGAGAGCATTATCAGTGTTGGAGCCAAATGCTTGATTTATGATTGAATATTTATTTCTAGTTTACTATTTTTGTCTGGTTTTGTTTAGTTGTGTTTTGCTGCCATTCATAATTTATGCTGTTTCTGGGCTCCGCCCCCTCATTATGGACAGGTGACTGCAGCACCTGGATTATATTGGAGTCGGCTATTGGGACCGGGTGAGCTCTTGGATACAGTCAGCGCAGCCATACAGTTTTTGACCGCTTTTGATTATTGTTTTTTTTTGACTGGCAAAAAGGAACGAAATGAGCCGATATGATCTGCCTCTCACGTCATACTGCGGTAAGAAAGTCTAAGTTTGTTTTGATTTTGGAAATTAAAGCGTCTTGATGAAGAGGAAAGAAAGTTTGCTGATTGCATGATCACATTAAACAACATCGGACAGATCTGAAGTGAGTCTAACTTGGATGCTTCTGAACCAGGAGCCAAACGCATCTTTATTGGAAAGATTGCGCTATTAATCAGAGCATCTGCATTGATCTTTACCTGTTGGGAATTTTATAGAAGCACTAAAAGCTATAAATCAAACATTGCGAGTTCAGCATGTTTAGAGAACGTCTGTAAAACCTCTGACCATCACATCACCGGTATTAGAGCATCTGAACAACATTTAAATATAAATATCGTCTGTGATTTCCATCCATCTCTTCCCGTTTCTCTCATATGGAATCACTTTTTCAAACAACGAGGCCGACGCCATCGACTTCATAGCTGATTTAACATTTTAATAGTTGAGCAGGGAGACGCCGACATGCAGAGTTTACAACATTCTTCATTTTGCAGCCGATGGCTTCTAGATGGTGGAATAAATGTGTATTGCTTCCTTTTGCATCAGTGGTTTTCTTACAAAAAGCGCCGGATCTTAGTCTGGTTCTGGTGTTTGTAAACGCCGGGCCTTCAGTTAGAGGATTATTCGGGTTTAATCAGAACGTAGAACCCACTGCTTCTGAAAGAAGCCGGTCCCTGCAGGGAGAACCGCCCTGATGACGGTCCCTGCAGGGAGAACCGCTGCGCCCGGCCGGCGCCGACCCCACGGAGCCTCACCGTCTTCATCAAGGAAGAGCTTGTTGAAGCGCAGGCCGCTGGGCTCCTTCCCGATGAAGCTGTGCACGTACTCCGTGCTGTGGTCATGGACGGCCACGGCGTACTTCAGGGGCTTCACGCAGGACTGCAGGCAGAAGGGGACCTTGGTGTCGCCCACCGTGTGCCTGATGAGAAAACAGAGAGCAAGGAGAAGAAATCAAAACATCAGCTGAGACCTTCTGCCTGCCAACATCCTGGACCCTGCAGAGCATCCATATACAAGGACCCGCCCCCTTTCTCTTTGCACAGCGGCAGCCATATTGGTGGAACCATTTAAAGTTAGTAAGTTCTTGTTTGCAGAACCAGCTGGTTTTACAGCAGAAACTTGGACCAGAGATCCAACAGAGACTCAGAGCAGCTTCTTCTAGAAGTTACCGAGCAAAGACCGAGATAACAGCAGGTTGGTTTCCCTTCCAAACATGAAGCCCTCCCAGATAGATACACACTGTGTGCAGAATTATCAGGCAAGTTGGTTTTTTTAAGGATTATTTTATTATTGGGCCACATGTTTTCTCAATCAACCCAAAATACTCCTTAACATCACAGTTTCATTGGAGTTTTTTTTAGATTTGGTCATTTAATCAGGATGTCTGTGTGAGCAGGTAAATATTACTGTGCAGAATTATTAGGCAACGTAATAAAATCAAATATAAACCCGTCTAACTTCTGTCAGAGTCCTGATCTGTTTGCGATCCTCATGGCGTGCAGCAGCCACAGCCTCCCTGTACATCTCACCTTTCATGAAGGACCACAGGTTCTCCATGGGGTTCAGATTTTTTCTCCTTTTAGCCTTTAGATAGTTAGTTTAGTTTTACCAGCTTAGTTAAGAGTTAAACTGAAAAATGTTGGACCTGAAGTTCAAAGACTTTTGTTAATAAATTCTTATATTTTAAATGAAAGTTGTGGTGAATTTATTCCATATGTGCAGATTTAATCAAAGAAAGTTATTGGATTTAATAATTACTTGAAGACGTCTGTCTTTACCACAGTGTCCTGTAGGGGGCGTAAGAACGGAGCAACTGGCCCCGCTGACGGATCATAACAAAGCAGCTTTATCTTTATGTTTTTCCACACACATCGTCTGAGCCAATCAGAGAGCGGCTGCAGGACCACACCTCCGTCAAACTTTAACCAAAGGCGACTAATCGCCTTCCGCTCAGCCTCAGGGACTCAGACATGGAGTCCAATGTCTCCACACGGGGACAGCCTGTCCTGAGCTGTCTCAGGGCGCTGCAGGACTTTGCCCAGCAGGACTGTCTGGGTCCTACGGTGGCTGAGCGGGGTCAGAGTGGCTGAGCGGGGTCAGAGCGGCTGGAATGTGAGACGTTGTGGCAGAATGTGGAGCTCTGCTGTGGAAATCTCACCTCTGTCCGTCCACGGTGCACAGAGACACGGCCCACAGGTCTGGGCTGAACTTGGCCAGTTGAGGAATGTAGTCTGCTACCTGGAACAGAAGCAGAGCAGCAGTGAGAAGGAGGAAGCTGGGGCCCGGGGCCCCGGGGGGCCGCCGCGTCCCCCAGGACCACAACTACACAGTCTGAGACGCTTCTACCCAGGAAACACCAAGAAGACCCCATGAACCACCAGCTCTGCTGCTCCCTGAGGACCGGTCCGGTCCGGTCAGGTCTGGACTTGGACTAGAACCCTGCTGCTCCTGATCCTTCCCTTCATCCACCGTTCTGATCCGCTGCAGAGTCTGAGATCCTGGTTCTGTTCAGGACCCAGTTTGGACCCAAGTAGAGCAAATCCAAACCATCACACCTCCACCGCCGTGCTTCATGCTCCAACATCTCTGCAGCCATCTTGGTTCTTCTCCGAGCTCCGATGTTGGGCCGAACCTCCTGAAGGATCAGCAGCTTCTCCTCAGACGGGTCGGAGGTTAGTCCTTCCAGAACCCAGACGTCGGGTCTGCTGGCGCCGTCAGGGAGCAGCTTAGAAAGAGACGGTTGAGGTTCTGCTAAGGCTGAAACCCGATCAGAACCAGCGGGATCCGTATCTCCTGTAGCAACCGGTTCTGTTTGCAGAACCAGAGGAGCAGGAAGCAGCTCTGAGCTGCTAAGAAACGGCAGCTAACCCAAACCCAGACCTGAACCCGGAACCAGAACCGGCAGGATGACGATGAACCCGGATGCAGAAAAGAAAGCAGAGACATGAAAGATCAGAAGCAAAAAAACGTCACGGATCTTTGGACACACCTGTCCTCCGGAGAGTTTTTTGGCTTTCTCATAAAGCTGGTCAATATGGGAGGTGAAGGCCTGGAAGTCGGGGATGACGAACTTCTTGCGGAAGGCCTGAGTGAGGAGGACAATGTTGCTCTGGACACACCTGATGGACAGAACCACAGACAGCATGCTGAGACGGCCGGACGGCATGCAGCAGCAGCAGAAGTTTGCCGACCGGCTCAGCGCCTCTCGAGTCCGACAAACTTGGATGAAACCAAAACAGAGGCGAGGTTGAGCGGACCGGAGCGACCCGGCGAGCCTTACTTCTTGAAGAGGTGGCGGTCCAGCGTGACGCCGTCGGGGGTCTTCTTCAGCGACTCCTTCAGCATCTCCATGCACTCCTTCAGGCGGGGGTCTCCGCTGCGCAGCCCGGTAGCTTTCAGCGCCTGGAACCAGACGGGAAAAGCTCCACCAACCAGAACCGGACCGGACCGGACCGGGCGGTTCCGCTGCGTGTGAAGAACTTACCGTCATGAACTTGTGAGCGGGGATTTTCTCCTGACCTTCAGCCACCGTGTAGAACAGCAGGTCCTCCAGACTGGGGAGGATCCCCGGATGCCTCCTCCTGGAAACGCAGAACCAGCAGAACCATTCAGAAGTTCTGCAAACATCTAAGCAGCATCTCAGTAAATTAGTAAACTAAATAAGTAACCAATTAATGACTAACTGGATTATAGAGATTGTAAAACAGGCCTTTAGCAGACAGAGTGACCCACTTAGAACTATAATTATACAAAGATTGGAATTAATATCCTTCATTTCCATTTCTCTGCTTCATTCTATCTCTATAGATCTGCTGCTATAGGCTTTGACTGCTGGAGGACATAGGGACCCCTTTTCATCATTCCATCTTTATTCTCCCACTCTGCAGAATCTGTTAGATCAATCTCTACTTTGAATCAATGTGACTGGATGATCTGGTGAACATTAAAGTGAGATGGGATTTGATGTAATAGAAATAAACTTAAAATTGAATTGTAATATTTTGCATTTAAGATTTAAAAAATGTTTTGATCCGTCCGTCTGATTTATCCAGAACTCCTCAAGCTGAAACGTTTTAGTTTCACCTGGTTTAGTTTTGCCTTTAAGGAACTTATATCTGATTATTAATCAATGAATCAAAAATAATCAGCAGATTAATTGATTTAGAAACAACGGTTAGCAGCAGTGCTGGAACGTCTCTGTTCGCCTTCAGGCTCTCAGTCGCCTGCTAACTAAATGCTAGCGCTAGCTGCTAGCGTTTAGCCTGCCCTGTTTCTTTACTGTTTGTTGTGAAACATGATCGTTTTCTAAGCCGGTTTCACAGCTTTATTTCCGCTGCTCTTTAAATAAAGGTCACCGTTCAGAGGGACTGAAATAAAATGATTAAAATATGATAAGAGATAACAGATTTTAATATTTTTTATCTATGTAAAACATGATTCAAATATTAAATATATTAACAGAAGTGTCAAATAAAGTCCAAATACTTCCTTACTTCAGTAGAAATGTTGCCCATCTATACTTTTTCCTTCTATTTCTCACATTTTAAAAATAAACTCAGTTTTATTTCATTTAAGCTCATTTTCATTCTGGCCTCTTGTTATCTAAAAAATATATAAAAACCATCAAAATAATTAGTTTCATGCAGACAATCAATGTCTCTGTGGTTGGACTCGGTGCTGCCCCAGCCTGTTGCTCACCACAAAACAAAATACGGTAAAGAGTTTTTTCAGATGAAGCAAAGTTAAATGTTTTCTTAGTTTCATAACTAAAGGTCACAAAGTCTAAGGAAGTTTTCATCTAAAACATTAGAAAAATGTTCCTTTAATAAAGTAGAGCAGTAAAACTTCTGGCCTTAATAGTTTATCCTGCTTTATTTTTACTTTTATTCTTTAATTAGTTTTAAAAATGGCACTTTTATACTTTTACTGGAGTAAAAATCTGAAGTTGATCCTCTAACTTCTATAAAAGTGTTTTTAAACAGCAGGATTTTAACTTCTACTGGAGGAATAAACATTAATCGGCTCATTAAATAATAAAATTAAGAATTAAATTTGATGTTTAATTAAAAAAAAAGTTTAAAATCAAAGGACACGTTTCTTTAAAAATAAAAACTTTGAGTGTCTCTGAAACCTTCCTCTGCTGATGGATCTCGTGAAACACTGATGCTTCAGGGAAACCCCGTTGCCATGGCAATGAATTTTCTATTAAACTTCCGTTTTTTTTATTTTTTTTATGAACATAAAAGAAAAATCAACTAGTTGATTTTTTGTTTCCTTTTCTGGGTTTGATCATCGGAACAAAAAGTAACAAAATAAAGAAAAATCTGAAAGAGTGACGAACTTAACGGGTCGGGTCGACCTGCAGAACCAGAACCAGAACCAGGAAGGTTCGGTTCTGACCGCCGGCAGCCAAAGATGTTCAACCCAGGCGGAGAGTTTCCTGCTGATGCGGTTCTGATGATCCGACTCAAACATCAGAGGAGGTCCGTTTAAAAACAGAACCGCCTTCAGAAAAGGTTCAACAGAACCCCAGCAGAACCAGAACCGGACTGGGAGGAACTGAGTGAACACCCATTGGTTCTGTAACCCAGTAGTCCTGCTCTGATCCCAAATTCCGGTCCGGTCCGCTGGATGGGACCAGTTCCCCGTCTGCAGCTTCACTCCTTCCAGGTCCGGTTCTGATCGTCCACCGCTTGGAAGCTTCCTGAACGGCCTAGTCAAAGTCCAACTAACTGACCCAGCTGTCTCTGCCGGGTCGGTTCTGTTCTACCAGCAGGAACCGGGTCCACCAGGCTGGGAACCCAGAACCTCCTGGGTTCTGATGCAGAATACTGGAGGATTCATCCGTTTCAGCTGTTTTAGTTTCCGGGTTCTGAAAGGTTCTGATCTGGTTCCTGTTTCTCCTCCAAACCAAACAGGAAGTGATCAGATCCACTTCCTGTTTCCAGACAAAGATCGCTTTAAGGGTTCGGTTTCAACTGGATCCATTTTCACTGACGAAACCAAACGGTTCTGATCCACCAGCAGCTTCCATCCAAACATCGTCATCCTTTGCCCTTCTGTTTGGTCAGTGGTTCATTGCTCTTCCTGTCTGGTGATCCTTCTCCTTCTGTTCTGTTCAGTTTCATTGCTCTTCCTGGTGGTGATCCTTGGGCTCCTTCCTGTTCTGGTTCTGTGGATTCATCGCTCTTCTGTTTGGTGTCCTTTCTCTCTGTCTGTTCATGATTCATTCGTTTCTGGTCTTATCCTTTGTCCTTCTTTCTGGTTTAGGGATCATTGGTCCTTCTGTTCGTGATCTTGGCTCCTTCTGGTTCTGTTCTAGTGGATTCATTCGGCTCCTCCGTCGGTTAGTGGATCATTCGCTCTTCCTGTTCGATGGACCTTTGGGCTCTTCTGGTTCTTTGATTCATCGCTCCTCGTCGGTATCCTGCCCTTCTGGTCTGGTTCTGTGTCATTGGTCCGCTTTAAGGGTTTGGTTTCAACTGGATCCATTTTCACTGACGAAACCAAACGGTTCTGATCCACCAGCAGCTTCCATCCAAACCCTTCCTGGTTCTGGTTCTAGTGGATTCATTCGGCTCCTTCCTGGTTCTGGTGGATCCATTGGGCTCCTTCCTGGTTCTGGTTCTAGTGGATCCATTCGGCTCCTTCCTGGTTCTGATGGATCCATTTGGCTCCAGCAGAGGAAACAAACGGACCTACAGAACGAGATGGTTCTGGATCCACATCAGTGGCTACTGAACCCGACGGGTCGAAGACGGAACCAAGCAGACCAGCAGAAGGTAAATGAACCAGTTTAGGAGCCTGAAGAGAAACCGGGTCGAAGACCAGAATCGGAGCGATGAAGCAGGTCCAGATCGTTGGTTCTGGTTCTGAGCTTGGATGCTGTCCGATCTGGGCCAAGACGCCATGTTTATCCAACAGAACCAAGACCTGAACATCAGAGAGATCAGATCCACAGGTCCTGAGGTTCTGGTCTCTGACCGACCCACATGGGCCCAACAGGACCAGCAGAACCAGCAGGACCAGTCTGGGTTCCCTCTGACAATGGGGCCCCTAATACTGAGGGCCCCTAATGCTGAGGGCCCCTGATGCTGAGGGCCGCTCAGACCAGCAGACTCTGCTGATGTCATGGCGGCTCCAGGTGTGTCAATCAGAAACTCGGTTCTGTTTACTTCCTGCATTTCTTCAGGGCCGCTCTGTTTATCAAAACTCTTTAGGGGCCCCTGACTTCGGCCCCGCCCGCTCCTTCAGCCAGCGGCTCTTAGAGCGTAAATCAAACAACAATCCTCTGCTTTTTCTCTCAGAAGGAACCAGAACTTTAGAGACGTTTCTTTCAGCTCCAATCGTCACGTTTTTATTGGACTTCAGCTGCTTTTTATTGAGGGAACAAAATCACCTTAAACCTGGAAAATCCTGGGAAATGAGATTCCAGGCATGCGGGGGGGTTAGCTGCCAGTCAGACCCGATCAGAGGTTCTACGTCCTTCAGAACCGCTGAACCTGAAGGTGAGCCGACCAGGAGCCCAATCAATAGCCCCCCCTCCCCCGCTACAGAGAAGGAAAGGCAGAGCCGCCCTCCAGCCGACCTGGAGGTCACGGCAGAAACCTCTAGAAGCCCCTCCCTCCTCAGACGCTCTGAGAATCGTCTCTTTTCTCTGAAACTGTTGCTCCACCTGCAAACAGAACTGAAGTTGGCCTCTGATTGACGGCTTCCTGTTGATTAAAGGAGCATTTCACAGTTTTTAACCCAACATAAAACCATCAGATCAACCTGGAAACGGATAATTTTAAACATCTGGTCCAATTATTGAACCTTTTTCTACTTAGAAAATATTAAAAAAGGAGAATTTCATATCTAAAATATTGGAATCGGATCCACCTGCAGGTTTCTGTTTAACATATAATCAATCATCTTATCAACTAAACAGAACATTAAGTTCAAACAGAATAACCTTGTAAAAAAGTAATGTTGTGTTTTAAAGCGTTATTTATAAACTTTACAGACTAACAGGAATTTAAGGAGCTGATAAGAGTTAATTAGTCAGTCGGCTGCTTCACAGACTTTCTGCTCCTTGGTTGTAAAAAGGAGTTTTAAAGGCCAGCAGGACTGAGCGGTGCGTCCTTTCTACACAGGACCGCCTCCAGGAAGCTGCATTTCTCCTTCCTGGAAGCGGATTCCTTTCAGCCAGCTGACCAGCAGTGCGGCCTTATTGCTGACTTTAGTTTCCATTCCACCCCTCAGTTACTGCTATTTTAAATCTTTAAACTCCTAAAATAGAAATATAAACAATGATGGCGTAACGCTCTGGGCCCCATAGGAAGTAAAACACGTGATAAATGTTCAGGATACGACGACGATTCTAGAAATCGCCCAAAAAGATACAATAACGCAAAAGAGACGTCCTGGTTGCGTAGGGGGCCAACCAGTGATGGGCGGATTATTCTTCTCCATCCGCACACATCAAATGTCGCTTGGTTCTGGTCGCGAACCAGTATTGCCGCTACGCTTCTGCACCGTCGGTCTGGAATTTTTAGGGACGCTCAGCATTTTCCCGCCAAAGCGTAAGGAAGAGCTTATTAGAGAACTTCAGCGGCGCCGGCAGAAGTGTTTATCTTCCAAAACAACAATGGCGCATCTTTAAGATAACACGGTCACGGAGATAGATCTAGAGTTGCTAGATATCGGATCATGTTCTGTTAATGGAGTTCGCAAAAAGACAGATTAGCCTTTCGTCACAGTTGTCCATTGTAGTTTTTAAAAATGGCGCGCCAATCACAGCTGCTGTTTGTCTGCACACTTCCGCATTGAGGTTGTTAAATATGAAACCTAACAAGGTCTGCGCGGGTTTGCGACCATCTGACGCATAGCTAGGTTTTTTTTGAGATGCATGATGACGGTCGCAGTATCTCTGGTTGGGGGCGCCGTCGCGCACAGAGACAGATTTGACAGCTGCAGAGGCTATGCGTCAGAAGCATAAATGAGCCTAAATCGTTACTACGCGTCGGACGGTCGCACATCAGCGCAGACCTCAAGCGGAAGTGCGCAGACAAAAAGCAGCTGTGATTGGTCCTTTCTGGCTGTCTGTGTGCTCGTCCTTCTCTATTCGGCCCCGGGGCCATTTTTACAAACCGCGGAATGATAACAACAATAGACAACTATGACGAAAGGTTGATGGAGAAAGTTCGGAAGTACAACCACTGTATAAATAGTATCTTTGAGGTCTAGCAACTCTAGATCCATATATCAACCAAGATATCCACTGTGATATTCTGAAGATGCGCCATTGTTGTTTTGGAAGATAAACACTCCCGCCGACGACGCCGAAGTTCTCGCGAGTTCTCGGATAAGCTCCTCCTTGCGCTTTGGCGGGAAACTGCTGAGCGTCCCTAGAAATTCCAGACCGACGGTGCAGAAGCATAACAGCAAAACTGGTTCGCGACCAGAACCAAGCGACATTTGATGTGTGCGGATGGAGAAGTATAATCTGCCCTGTAGTCAGGATTATTTTTTCCGAGTTGCACGACAATGGTTGCAGAACCCTGCTCTGATTGGCCGGCTGTGTGTAAAGCCCTGCTCCGATTGGCCGGCTGTGTGTAAAGCCCTGCTCCGATTGGCCGGCTGTCTGTAAAGCCCTGCTCCGATTGGCCGGCTGTGTGTAAAGCCCTTCTCCGATTGGCCGGCTGTCTGTAAAGCCCTGCTCCAATTGGCCGGCTGTCTGTAAAGCCCTGTTCTGATTGGCCGGCTGTCTGTAAAGCCCTGCTCCGATTGGCCGGCTGTCTGTAAAGCCCTGCTCCGATTGGCCGGCTGTGTGTAAAGCCCTGCTCCGATTGGCCGGCTGTGTGTAAAGCCCTGCTCCGATTGGCCGGCTGTGTGTAAAGCCCTGCTCCGATTGGCCGGCTGTCTGTAAAGCCCTGCTCCGATTGGCCGGCTGTGTGTAAAGCCCTTCTCCGATTGGCCGGCTGTCTGTAAAGCCCTGCTCTGATTGGCCGGCTGTCTGTAAAGCCCTGTTCTGATTGGCCGGCTGTCTGTAAAGCCCTGCTCCGATTGGCCGGCTGTCTGTAAAGCCCTGCTCTGATTGGCCGGCTGTCTGTAAAGCCCTGTTCTGATTGGCCGGCTGTCTGTAAAGCCCTGCTCCGATTGGCCGGCTGTCTGTAAAGCCCTGTTCTGATTGGCCGGCTGTGTGTAAAGCCCTGTTCTGATTGGCCGGCTGTTTGTAAAGCCCTGCTCCGATTGGCCGGCTGTTTGTAAAGCCCTGCTCCGATTGGCCGGCTGTTTGTAAAGCCCTGCTCCGATTGGCCGGCTGTTTGTAAAGCCCTGCTCCGATTGGCCGGCTGTTTGTAAAGCCCTGCTCCGATTGGCCGGCTGCGTGTAAAGCCCTGCTCTGATTGGCCGACTGTCTGTAAAGCCCTGCTCCGATTGGCCGGCTGTCTGTAAAGCCCTGCTCCGATTGGCCGGCTGTCTGTAAAGCCCTGCTCCGATTGGCCGGCTGTCTGTAGAGCCCTGCTCCGATTGGCCGGCTGTCTGTAAAGCCCTGCTCCGATTGGCCGGCTGTCTGTAAAGCCCTGCTCTGATTGGCCGGCTGTCTCCATTTGAGGCTAATTAATGGGCCTGACGTCAATCAGCAGGTGTCACATGGGGCGCTGCTGGGTTCGGATCAGAGCTGCTCTGGTTCTGTTGCTTCTGTCTGAACCGTCTCCACCCTGTGTTTATATTGGGGGGTAAATATAAATCTTTCCATTTTTTTTTTTTTATCTGTATTTTTGTTCCTGCGCTTCAGGCGCTGAAAGACGCCGCATCATGTGCGTCACCCCCCCCCCCTCCTTTAATCCTCCATCGGTCTGAATCACCTACTTTTCTCCTTCGCCTCCATCCTTCTTCAGCTGCTCTTCCAGCTCCTCCGCTGCTGCTCCTTCTGTTTTCACGCAGTAGGAGCGGCGCTGTGCGGCGAAGGGCGCGGCGGCGCGGAGGGCCGCAGCGGCGGCAGCATCTCTGGGTCCAGAAGCGAAGCGGCGAAGGCTCCCGGGCGCCGCGGACCAGCTCTGCTCGGTGCGGCGGGGAAAGGGACGTTTGACGGCGGCTTGGAGACACTCCTTCAGGGCTGTGGAGAACCTGAAATGGAACATCTCAATCCTGTCCGGCTGTGAGGGAGAAACGTGTCCGGCTGACGAGAAGCTGCTTCTGGGAAGGAGGAGAATCAGAGGGTCGATGAGTCACCCGACACCGCGCTCCAAAAATAAATACCGCCGTCTGGCCCCGCCCTCCTCCTTTCTGATTGGTGGAAACACTTCCGCTTCTCTTTCTTCTTCGTTTTCTTCTGCTTCTTCTCTTCTTTTATGGCGGTTGGCAAACAACTTTAAGGTTCATTACCGCCACCTTCCGGACAGGAGTATGAATCAAACATTAAACTATTATATTCTGCCCATTCTTCTTTAAAAATCCCACAAACTGCATCCCCAGATTATTTATAAAAGAATCCCTTATATGTAATTTATTTTTCTTCCTATCTAACTCCCTATTCTCTTTCCTGATCATTTTTATTACATTCTAAAAAATTTGCTGTTTCTAATTATCCACAATAATTACAAAACCCCGTGCTATGCTTATTTTATTTATTATTTTATCTTATTATTATAATTCTATTTATTGTCATTATTTATTTGTTTTAGTATTATTTAATTTATTCCTTTATGTCCGCATCTTATTCTAGATATAAGATCTTCTTCTTCTTTTTAAATTCTATATTTCCTTAATTCTCCACCCTTTTTTTGAACACTATAATAAAATTTAAAATTCCCTCATTTATCCCACTGTTCTTGCCATTTCTTCTTGATTTACATTTTACAAATTTTTACTTATTTTAATATTTAAATCTTTTAAATATTCTTTTTTGCAGCAGTCTTAGCAAACCAACTCATTCCCTTTAACTCTGGGCAGGAATCCAAACTAGTTTAACATGAAAACCATCATGTTTAATCCTAAAAATTGAGTGAATAATCTCTAATATAATATATAATATCTTGTCTTGATTTTGAATTAAACTCTAGAATATTTTTTAAAGCACTACTTGAATCTGAACAAATAATATTCTTTTATTTCTCATAATATTTCAATCTGGAATTAAAAATGCTAAACCTACTTTTCATTTAACATTTTAGAAGCATCTGTGTTCATTTTTATAGATTCTGAATATGATTCACCGGCGCGCTGAGTCCCTCTGCTGGTCAACAGTAAAACTGCACCTATCAGCAGCTCCTCATAGGATGGAGGCCTGAAGAGAAAATATCTAAAAAATAAACTTATGAAATAAAATACTAAAGTTGTGTTGGTGAAACATATTTATAATAAACTTTTGTTTATTATTATTATTATTTCTTTATGTAACAGGCTTTGATTTGATCAATATTATAGATGTCAAAGTTTGTTTATTTATTCTTTAAATACTTTATTCTATCAAAACAAATATTTTCTCCTGATATTTATAAAAGTTATGCTGCTCATAACAGTTGCCGGTTGCCACAGCAACCACTAACTGAGTCCCTTTTATCTGCCAATGTGTTACTGTGGTCTGCATTAGGATCAGCGGTGTGTTTTCTTTACCAATATTTTATTTTAACATGTATTATAATCTAGTTTATTAAAAACAGGTTTTTTTATTTGTTATGTTGCCACTTTTAGTGTGTTTTTTGTCTGTTATTGTTGTGTATTTAGAAAAATGTTCACTGGGAAGCTTTTCTGTAGCTTGTTTAAGGTTATTTATTGAAAAATGGAGAATTAACCAGAATAAGAACATCTGGAAGCTTTTCTCTGTCTCTAGAGTTTATATGCAAATTAAATATACGTAAACAAATATTAATCACTTTAAATCTATACCGTTTGTTCTCATGATAACCTTTAATAACATGAAACAGTTTGATAATATATCATAAATCTAACTGCACATAAGAAGCACAATAAAACAATCAGACTAAAGTTTAAAGAGAGATTGTTTCGGTCTGGAATCAGTCTCTGGTCTTCAGGTTATTAATTATTCCTGATGTCTGATTGGCCAATAGAAGCTTCAGAAAACATTCCTGCTGTTTTTACTGGATGCTTTATGAGTTAGTGACTCCACAGATCTGAGGAACCAGGAGGCCCCTGAGGGCCTGAGAAGCTTAACCTGGCAAACATTTAAAATGACTGATAGCCTGTGAAGTGACTATTTGATCAAAACTAAAATTAAAAAAAACTTAAGACTTAAAGGTGATCAAACCAAAAGGTGAATTTAACTAAAACAGTCACCTGATGCAAAAAGGGTCAAAATCCAGATCTTTGTTTTATTCTCTGTTTAGACAAAACAGGTTACAGGCTTCACAGGATTCTGCTACTGATCTTTGACTGATTGACTGACTGACTGATTGACTGACTGACTGACTGACTGACTGACTGACTGACTGACTGACTGATTGACTGGTAGCAGTTTATTGGAGGTCGAAGCTCCTGTCAGACTGAACGCAGGGCTGAATAAACCCAGGAAGCCGCTGCCGTCGCGTCACCGTGACGTCATCGCCACCTCCAGAGTTTCCAAAGTTGCCACGAAAGCAGAGCGGGATGATGTGGAGGCTGGCTGGCTGCATCTTCTGCGTGTTTCTATCCTGGCCGCTCGGTTCGGGGCCCTCAGGGGCCGCAGCGGGGGCCCCGGAGGAGCAGGTCCGGATCGAGGTTCTGTTCAAGCCGGAGGAGTGCGGCAGGAGGAGCAGGAAGGGGGATCTGATCAATGCTCATTATGACGGCTACCTGGCGGAGGATGGCTCCAAGTTCTACTGCAGGTGAGTCCCACTGGGAGCGGAGCAGGAACTGGGAGCACTGGGTGGAGCAGGGCATGCAGACTGGGAGCTGGACCAGTTAGATCAACTGGTTTCCAGCCAGCAGTGATGGGGAGATGAAGCCTCATTGAACCGTTAAACCCTGCAGACCAAGAAGCTCCATGTGAAAATGTCTCCATCTGCTGGAGGAAAGAAGAACTACAGTTAGTAATATAATATAATTGTTTTTCTTGTTTTTTTCCCCATTTAAGTTCCTTTGGAATTGTTAAGGATTGGAATGTATAATAAAATCTTTTGTAAGTTGTTTTTTGTTTAAGTGTAAAATGTCTTATAAGAGAACAATCATTTAAGGTTCACAGTTTTTCTGCCATTTTAGTGAAATACCGTCACACTTGCAATGGTGCTCAAAATGGAAAGTTTTAGCCATTCTTATTCAAACATGATGGTTTTCGCACAGTTTTTGGTTTTAATCTGGTTGGAAGTTACAGTTCAACCAACCTTTTGGCTAAACCAACCTCTCTAATTTGGCAGAGTTTTTACCCAATCTATAATTTTACCTGGGCAAACCAATACAAATTGGTCTCATTCGCCAAAATATTTAACTATAATTGCAACTTTCAAAAGTGACCGGTGGGTCTGGAACCTTCAACCTGAGTGGAACTCTAACAGACGACACCATTAACATTGCTATCTATCCACTGGAGAGCAAATCTAATTAATACTAAAGTTACATCTGTGTCCAGTGACTTGCTCAGATTTTGATCATTACATTGTTTAATCAAACCAAAGTAATTTTAACCAACTAGATTGGTTGTTTTTCCAGCCAATCTATTCTTAGAATCTATCCCGCTGACAGCAGCTCTCCTCCAAACTCCATCATGTTGACTGAACACTGAGGCTGTTTAAATGCCTGTCAAAGTTCTTGAACTTTCTCAACATTTCCTGAAGTGGTTACCTGGTCTCACTGTAGCGAGGCTTCAGACGTCAACAGTTTTAGCCCCTCCCCTAAATGAATCACGCCTGTACACGCGCTTCGGGGAAACGCCCCCTTCATTACTCGCACACGCCTCGAAGCCTCGGCTCGTCTCATAATGTCAGTAGTTCTGCCCAACGCCAGGTCAGAGAGACCTCAGCAATGAGCTGAGGCATGGAGGCGGACTGGCCTAGTCAAAGGCCAGGCCTCAGTGCTGCTGGACGCTGTGATGTCCTGATATGTCGGGTTCTCAAACTGATTGGAGGTTCTGATTCTGTCCCAGCCGCCACGACAAAGAGGGCCACCCGCAGTGGTTCGTCCTGGGCGCGGGGCAGGTCATCAAAGGCCTGGACGTCGGCATGATGGACATGTGCGCCGGAGAGAAGAGGAAGCTGACGGTTCCGTCGACTCTGGCGTTCGGAACTACAGGAAAAGGTGGGTGGGTTAACAGGAATCGGACCCTCAGCCAGCTGGAGGTCAGAGGTTCTTAGTTTGTCCTGATGGTTCTTCTGTTTCTTTTTCGCAGCTGCGTTTGTCGCCTGGCATGTAGCGTGAGCATGCTCAGAGGGCTTTTCTTTGCATGAACAGAAAACTAACTGCTGTATCTGCGCCGCCTGAAGGGGGCGCTGCCTCTCAGGTTGGAACTGGCCTTCAGCACCTTGGGTTGTTGCAGTTTTTCCCTCATCTGCAGAGAGCTGCATGTCGTCAGCGTAGAGGCGAATCTTTTTCTCTGTTTCGTTTCTCTCCTGCTCAATGATTCGTAGGTTCCGATCTTTCGCCGTGCGTTCTGACGTCTTCTGACGCTTTTCAGGTCCGGTTCCTCCTAATGCCACCGTGGTCTTCGAGGTGGAGGTGTTCTCCGTGTCCAGAGGGCCTCGCAGCATGGAGGCCTTCCAGCAGATGGACCTGGACAAGGACAGAAGTCTGGATAAGGCTGAGGTAACCGTCGTCTGCTGGAACCCAGCGGCTCTACGCCTTTTATGGTCAAACATGGCTTCCAGGCAGGGGCCGATTTACCTTTCGGCTAAACAAGGCGGTAGCTACACATAACTCTGTTCATGTGTAGTTAATACAACTATTCCTTATTTGTGCGCATTAATTATGTTTTTGATAAAAATCCTTTGGCTAAAAGTCATCCTGCCCCCTCCCACACCTGTTGCTACACACCCTGAGTCAGAAAGCTAAACAAACAAAGCAAACTGTCTGAGGTCCAGGAGGCTCTCCAGGACCTCCAGGTTCTCCAGGACCTCCAGGTCCGCCCCTCCTTCTGTTCAGGTTTCTCTTCCTCTTTAAGTCTGATCTTGCATTAAAAGGTTCAAACCAAGTGGACTGAAACTGGTTCTGTTGCTTCCAGGTGAAAGAGTACCTGAAGCTGGAGTACGAAAAAGGCGGGAAGCCTCGGGAGGAGCCGTTCTACGAGAAGCTCCTCACCGACATCTTCTGGAAGAGCGACCAGGACGGCGACGGCCTGATCAGCGCCAAGGAGTACAACATCTACGAGCGGGACGAGCTCTAAAGCTCCGCCTCATTCCGGGGAGAGAACTGGGTGGAACCAGCCCGGCGCCGCCGGGTTCCGAACTGATCCAGACGTCTTCCTCTGATCCCTGATTAATCCTCCGTCTCTCTGCCGTCTCATCCAATCAATGCAGAGACTGAAAACTGTGATTTTATTTTAGTTTTTGTACGGTTTTGGAACGATACCAGACCCAGAAGCGGCGGCTTTAGGTTCTACAGACGGGAACCCAGATAAAGAGTCAGGAGACGGTGGGCAGAACCGGAGAGAAACGGACCTGTCCGGACCGGGCCTCTGGCAGAATCAGATCAGAACCACTTATTGGGCGAAAATCACTGAATTAATAAAAAAGTGACAAACTTTCTGTTTTTATTTGGTATTTATTTCATTGTTGATCCATTAAGATAAAAAAATACAACCACAAGGTCAGTTAGAGGATTATAAGGAAGCAGCGGTGGTGTCAAAAGTTCACACATTTATTACTTCAGTAGAAGTATAGATACTGCAGTTTAAAAACACTCTGGTAAAAGTTGAAGTATCAACTTGACCTCTTTACTCAAGTAAAAGTGAAAAAGTATGCGCTCCAAAAACTACTTAAAGTATAAAAGTATAAAGTAACCTTTAAAAAAACAGCCAGATGCCGCTATATGAACTCAAAGCTAAATTTTTTGACTATTTCTATAAATCCTCTGAGATAGGTCCAAGGATGAGGGAGGTCTTGTTGGTCTCCGTCTCCCGATACGCTCTCGCCTGTTTTGACCTTTCAGACATTTCAGCATCTTTTTCTGAATCCCACATTGTAGCATGGCATAGACAATTCACGTTAGCAGTTTGAAGAACACCTGCTTGCTTCTGATGATTTCCTTTAGCTAACCAATGAGTGTTTGCGTTCTATGACTCATCCAATCACACTAGTTTTCACTAGATGTGGGTGGAGCCAATGATCTGCATTGGATGGAGCACATCCAATGCATCTATAAATCCATCTATAGCTGATGGATCCTATAGTTTAGTCTGCAGACTAACATTAGTCTGGCTATCTCAGACTGACTGGAAGACGTTGAGTTAGACATTGACACCGGGTCTAACGTTAGAAAATAGAAAGTAGAGAAAATGGAAAGTCGTTCTTTATGAAGTGGATGATGCCGTCGTTTCTGGTTTATTTCTCATTTGAAAGGGTCATGAAATATGTTGCAGGTTATATTGAGGGGAAAAAACAACTCAAACATTTGACCCTATATATATATATATATATATATATATATATATATATATATATATATATATATATATATATATATCATGCATTATTAGACATGTAATCATGTTAACAATGTAATGAATACATTTATGTTACATGTACACCATCAATTTTGCACTTTTGGCTCATCTGTATTATTCTGCTCCATTAACACATTAATTTTATTGTGATGGATTCTATAATATGTTATATTAGATGATTTATTGACTCCATAATGACTTCAATGTGATGGGCCTATTTTGTTTTTTTAATTCAATTCAGTTTATTTCTATAGCGCCAATTCACAACACAAGTCATCTCAAGGCTCTTTGCAGTTCACCTGATCATCCAGTCATTGATTATTCTAAGTTAAAGTTAATCTACTGATGCTATGAAACAGCCAGTCTTTGTCAAAGTAATAAATTTATGTTTATTTTAAAAGTCTTAAATCCCCCTGAAAATGAGAACATCATTGTTGTTCCATGCTGTAGCGCATTAATGGTTTACATTTTGGCCAGTCTAATTAGAGAGTACCAATATGGCGGCCGGCGGCTTCACTTCAACCCCGTAATAACCAACGGGCAATCAGCAATCCAGGGAATAAATAGAAATTAGTGGATTGAGCGGTAAACTGGTCTTATTCCCAGTTAGTCAGGATGTTCTGCAGGATCACAGCACTTCTTTCTCTGCTGAATCTCAACAGCAGCAAGTTGGAGATCAGATGAAGTCCTTTAGGAACGAACTGTATGTGGTTATGAATTATAACTTCTATATGTTTCTGGTAAATTAATGGTATTTTCATTATAATTCAATCATTTAAAGCTTATTTGTTTGGAAAACAGTCACTGAATCCTTTCTTTCTCGTCAGAACATAAACTGATGAATCTAATCTGGAGGTGCAGTTCCACTGCCTGTCCACTAGATGGTGGTGTTCTGCAGAACTAAAACTCCTGCTGCTCCACAGAAGTTCAGCCTGATTTCAGCATTTTTATGAGTAAACAAGCAAATGTAAGAAAAAAAATCACAAATTTACTAAATTAAAACAAATATAACAGAAAAAGGACCGACTGAATAACAAACAAGAAAATTTAGGAGAAAAGATGCGCAAGATTTAAACGTACATATGTGGAACAATCCATTATAATACCTGTTAAAGTATGTTAAATAAAGCACAAGTAAATGTATCATTAATTGTAAATAATCTCATAAATTTACATGTTAGTAATCTTATAAATTCGCTATTTGTTTCCTTCTAAATAATTTTAACTAATGACTAAATGATATTAACTAAATAATTATAAACTAATAATTTATAATCTTGTGAATTTGCTTGTTTTTACTTGGAAATTTGTCACTTTAAGCTTTGAATGTCCCTAATATGCTGCCATACTTTATTAAGTTGAAGCTCAGAAAATGTTGAAGGTTTTTCTTTAATCACCGAGAGGAAAAACAATCAATAAATCAGAAAACTTAATGAAAATAAGTTTATTAATAAATTAGAGAAGAAACGGGTCGGACTCTGGTTCAGTCGGGGATCTTGATCCGGAGCGACGGTAGCCTGATGGCGGCCGCCCTCACCTCCGCTGAGATGTCCACACCCAGCGGCGCTCTGCAACAGAACCGGATCAGAACATGTCAGAACATGCAGGTCTGCTCAGACGTTTGTCCGTTTCTATTCAATGATTTAAGCCAAAACAAGGCGTTGATTTTGGTCCGTTCTATAAAACCTGGTTGGAAGTTCTGACCCTAACCCTATTTCTGACATTTAAAATTAAAAAATCTTCCTGGATGGAAGAGAAACGTCTTCAAACTTGGAATAAAGTCCAGAGGATTGATTTGAACTTTTTGGACCTGAATGACTGAGAATCTGTTTCCCTCACTAAGCCTCTGGCAGCATTCTGATATCGGACCCGTCCTTCTCGCTCAGAACCGCCTCTCACTGCTGATCCTTGAATCTTTCACATGGTTTAGTTCCAGTCCAGAACCGTTTGGTCCAAAGTTTGAGTCCAAAGTTTCCAATTCATCAGCAGAACTGGAAACCAAACGCACCCAAAGCATGATGCTGCCTCCTCTGTGCCTCAGAACCGGGTCGGGGTTCTGGATCCGCTGAATCTTTGTCCGTCTGACTGATCCTCCAGGATATGTTTGGGTTTTCCAGATGTTGGTGCTTCCAGATCAGCAGATGTTCAGAAACGGCTCCTAAACTCTTTTCTCAGCGCCTCTAAAGATGGACCTCAGATCTTTCCAGATGTTCTGACCCAACAGAACTGCTAAACTATCCTTTAAAGACTAAACTGGTACCAGACCAAGGCGACCAGAAAACCCAGAACTTTGTTTCTCCAAAAGGAAGAACAAAGATTTAAAAGCAGCAAATATTTGGATGATTTCATGGAGATGGGAGCTTCTGTCCAGATCTTCTCCACTGACCCGTTTCAGACTCACTTTGGCTCGTAGCTGACGTCCACGTCCGGCGCCAGCACGCCTCTTCCTTCTCTCAGACGCTCCACTCCATTCCTGCCCAGAAGAAGAAAACCCAACGAGTCAGACACCAAACCTGACACCATGTAGAGTGTGAAAGGAGGACCCACCATGCAATCATCACGCCGTTGTCTGTGCAGAACCGGGCCGGAGGACAGAGCAGCCGGAGTCCGGTCCGCTCTGCAATGATGGTCAGAACCTTTCGGATGTACTGGTTGCTGGCAACTCCTCCAGAGAGAACCTGGAAAAGGAGCAGGAGACAATCTACATGTGCGGCTCTAGAAACCATGTTTTAATGCTACCAGAATCAGAATCTGCAGAGATGTTCAGATGATTCCAGTTTAAAAACAAACTCCTTCCACCTCCAGAATATTGCAGATATGATAAATATCCTGTCCAGGACTGATGCTGAGAAACACGTCCATGAATCTGTCACTTTAATGCTGGAATCCTCCGTTTATCAGGACGTCCACAAACTGATGAGCTTCTAGTTAGGGTGGCTCAGGTTATCCTGAGCTATCTCTATAGTTGTGCCGCTATAGGCTTAGACTGCTGGAGGACATAGGGACCCCTTTTTCATCATTCTGCTTCATTCTATCTCTATTCTCCCACTCTGCAGAATCTGTTAGTTCAATCTCTAACGTTCTGCTCTCTCTGCTTTTTCTCATAGTAGCTTCATCTGGTCTGTTCCTGTTCGGCTGGGACTACTTCCTGTCTTCTGTTTACCTGCTAAACCAGGAGGAGCCGATCATATAAAGGTAACGATTGGATTCAATCAGCATCAGAAATAATTAATCTGATTAATCGATTATTAAAATGAATGTCAACTTATTTATTAATCAATTAATTGTTAAAGGAAAAGTCTGGCCATATTTTGTGAAGTTCTTTAAATGTGAAATGGTTCCATCGTGTCCAGGAGGTGAAACACAGCGGCTCACCAGCGTCGGCTCATCAGGAGGCAGCAGGCGGTTGGTTCTGCAGAACAGGGCGGCCCGGTGGGTCCTCTTCGCCAGATGCATGGCGACGGTGTGCTGAGCCGCCGCTGCGATGTCATTCACGCTGGACAGCAGGGTTCCTTCCTGTACGCCTGCAGAGGGAGGCCGGCTGTGACTGCGGCGGCTGGACGTCTACGGCGAGACGCCCGGACGCCTCCTTACCTTCCTCCTCCTCCTGCTTCTGGATCGCCATGGTGATCTGGTTCCGCAGTCCGGCGAAGGAGAAGCAGCAGTCTGGAGTTTGTCCCATCGGTGTCCTGAAGCCAAACCTCCTTCTGTCTCCGTCCTTGGCCAGCAGCTCTATGGCCTCGCCGCCACTCAGCGTGGAGCAGCGGGGGTGCTTCCTGAGGGACAGACGTCTGGCCACCTGAGGACCAGCAGAGATCAGCGTCTGGTAACCTCAGCACCATCTGCCGCCGCGCTCCCAAAGCTGTACCTTGTCCAGTGTGTCTCCCGGAGCTTCGTCCAGCGTGCGTCCCAGGAGCAGGAAGTCATCCACGCCTCGCGCCACGGCCAGGAGGGCGTGGCCCCCGGACACCAGCAGCACCAGGAAGGGGAAGCTGACGGCGTGGAGCATCCTGACGGTCAGGGCGTGGGCCTCCATGTGGTGGACGGGGATGAACGGCTTGTTGTGCTGCCTGACGAACGCCTGGCTGAACCGCAGGCCCACGCCGAGGCTCAGGGCCAGACCGGGCTTCACGGTGGCGGCCACGGCGGCGAGCTCCGCCGGAGCCACGCCGCTCCGCTGCAGGGCCTCCTGGACCACGCGCTGGATGTTTGCTCTGTGGAGCTCCTGGGCCACTGTGGGGATGATGCCGCCCGACCTGAAGGGGAGACAGAGACGGTTCTGGTTCTGATCTCTGGACTTTAACTAGGCCACTAAATACTGTGAATCTTCTTTTTCAGACTTTTTTTTTGCAGATTAGCTAATTTATGATGAGCTGAGGCCTCTGAACAGAACGCTACCTGGACGCATCTCTCTAGAGCAAGAGTGTAACTGGTAGGGGCGCTCTAAGGGTGGGGGAGCTCTAAGGGTGGGGACTGATGGACCTACAGTTTCTCCGCCCAAACGCTTTCATTAGAGTTTTTGTATTTTCCAAAATTGAGATCAAACATCTATTTATTAAATGCTTCCTATTGTTCACAATAGAACCAAAATAAACTGATGTTTACATTTATGAGCAGTTAGAAATTAATTTATATTTAAAAAAATTATGAATGAAGATGAATAACAGACTTTGTTTGAAGACGTTTCTCTTCCCATCCAGGACTCTTTTTCAATTCAAAATGTCAGAAATAGCGTTTAGTTCCAGGTTTTATACAGTGGACCAACAAAGCCTTGTAATGGCCTAGAAAACATGCAGATTGAAACCTGAACACCATCTTCACTCCTTAATGGCCTGAAATACCAGATACTGGCCCATTCCTCTGAAAAGGCAGTCGTTAAGGGTCATTGTTGGCCTGGCTGACCATGAGAGATGTTTTGTTCCCCTGCATAGTGATGAGGGATGAGATGGTATTGGGAAGGAATCAACTCTATCGCTGCATTGTAGGTTTTTGAGAGCTGAAATCTGAGTCTTTATGCAGGGAAAGAAAACATCTTTCCAGGTCAGCCAAGCCAACAATGAGCTTTAACGACGAGCTGGTTTTCCAGTTTCAATCTGCATGTTTTCTAAGCCGTTAAAAGGCTTTGTTGGTCCGCTCTCTAAAACCTGGAACTCAACGCTAATCCAGACATTTGAAACTGACAAAGCCTTGGGAATGGGCAGTCGTTGGGTTCGACTATCCATTCCTAAGGGGCGGACCCGTCCGTTCCATTCAATCTGCATGTTTTCTGAGCCAAAACAAAGTGATTATTGGTCCGCTCTATAAAACATGGAACTCAACGCTATTTCTGACATTTTCAATTCAAACTTGGAAACAAAGTCCAGTGGATTGATTTCTTAACTTTTGGGAATGACTTTGACCTGGATGACAGAGAATCTGCACCATCTTTAGGTTAAAGGTGTTCAGGTCTGCAGCGTGGGTCCATTCCTCTGAGTAAAGGGACTGGTCTCAGACCAGTAGGTCTATGTTGTTCTAATGCTCCACAGAGCAGCACAGCTAGTTAGTCTCTGGAATCTTAACTGGTTTTTCACTATGATGTTCTGGTTTCTAAAAGAGATCAGTCTGATGAGAGCAAAGAGCCCATATCATCACACCGTCACTGCTGTGCCGGACATCTGCTGTTGATGCAGATCCACTGTAAGTTCTGCTGTTGTCTTTCCACCCTGACATTGTTCTCCAGATCAGCTAACTGACTGAATTAAATAACTTTAGTTTTGGACCAGGGTTCTAGAACCTCCAGCCGTCCATGGCTGCTGGACCCGGACAGTAAACGCTGTGACACCCACCTCAGATGGACCTCTTTCTGAGAATGCAGGGATTCACCCAGAATGGTTCCGGTTCCGTCCATCACAGCGGCTCCGGTATCATCGCAGCTGGTCTCGATGCCCAGAACCAACCTGCTGGCTAAGGTGTGTTTGGACCGCAGCAGCCTCACCTTTGAGGGAAACATCGCGGCTCCAGGCCGTGAAAACAACGCGAGAAAACACGGAGCTTACGGCGGAACGTAGTGATCTTTTCTCGTGCAGCCCGGACACCTTTCACGGTTACACACAGATGGAGCTCTTCAGCGCGGCTTCTATTCAATAAACAGTGTTTCTATCGGGAAATCAGTCAGGTTAGTTTTTCTTTTTCTTTACTTTTGTGTTTCTAAATGTTGAAACTTGGAGCTGATTTTGTCAGACATGTCTGCTTTATTCTCTAACTGGTTTAAAACGGCTTAAAATGACCCGTTTCCGTTCAGGAAACATGCCTCTCCTTTAAATGCATTAAAATCCTTTTATTCAAAATACTTTTTGGAGAATATCGATAGTTTTACTTTCTAAATATTTATTATAAGCGTTTGTTTTTGCCTAATTAAATAGGGCGTGTCTATTGATGGGTTAATGGGGCATATTAAGGCCAAACTATTGATTCTGTCTGGCAGAATACTGACACCTGCTGGACATGTGGAGATACTACAGGCAGCTTATTATTAAACTTAATTGATTGGATGACCTAATTCAATGATATCATTTAAGTTATTGTAGGTTAAATTATATTGTTTCATATCTATGTTTAAATTGAAAATATCTTTGATATTTTTAGATGCATCCAATAAAAAATGGAAACATTTATCATAAGGTCAAAATTATGAACAAACAGAAAATGTGGATGAGGATGCTGCTGGATTAGGATTTAAAACATTTTTTAATACAATAAGAACAGTAAATAAACTAAGAGTCAATTTGAAGTTAACTTAAATTCTGACAAGTTGAGAGATAACAGAGGAAAATTATGACACAATAAGAAAATAAATAATTAGTCTCATTAACTGATCAATCCTCGGTTCCAAATGAACGGGAACCGGACTTCCTGCAATCATCCTGACGTCGGTCCAGAAGGTTCTGCAGCAGCCTGAGGTTGGAGCGCTGCTCTTTCAGCACCTGGAGGTCCAGGTGGGCTCGGTTCTGCTCTCTGGTTTACAGACGAGATGAGAAACAGAACCAAAGGTTTTTCAGGAAACAAGAAGTCCTCCAGCTGTGGACCTTCTGGTTCTGTTCAGCTCTACCGGTTCTGTTACTATAAACAGATTTTAAGAGGAAAGGAGGAATGAAAACCGGATCAGTTCCGTCCATCAGCCCAGAGAACGGTTCCGTTAAACCGGAACCGCCTCAGAACTGAAAGGTTCTGCTGATCCGATTTATTCCAGGATCTATAGAACTGGATCAGAACCAGGAAGCAACACACCAGATCGACGAAGAGGATTTCTGATCCAGAAAAGTGGGTCTGCTGAGCCGGACCTCAGTGTTCTACAGAACCTCTGGCCCACTGTGCTGCCGTTACCATGGCGATCTACTAATTCAGCCTGGTAGGAAGCTGAACTGGACCAGAACTGGCAGAGGAAAGGGGTCAGACACCGGACCTTAGGGGGCGGGTCTTCTGATGTCATGCTGAGGTTCTGAGTCCTGTACCGGACCGGAACCAAGCAGCAGCCCAGCAGAGACCCGCTTTGCTTTAGGTTCTGTTCAGAACTCTTCTTTAATTCTGGTTCTGTCGCCTCTCCCAAAGGAGCCATGCAGCGTCCCGGTCCGGTTCTGGAGCATCTGGAGCGGTTCCGGGTCCCTGAAGCTCCACAAACGGTGTTTTACGTCCCGGACTTCGTATCGCCGGAGGAGGAGTCCTTCCTCCTGGAGCGGGTCTACCGCTCCCCCAGAACCAAATGGACCCAGCTGTCGGGTCGGCGGCTCCAGAACTGGGGCGGGCTGCCGCATCCCAGAGGCATGATGGTGGAGGAGGTTCCGGACTGGCTGCAGAACCTCTGCGAGAAGATCTCCTCTCTGGGCGCCTTCGGGGGGAACCGGGCCAACCACGTTCTGGTGAACGAGTACGGACCGGGCCAGGGCATCATGCCCCACCAGGACGGCCCGCTGTACCACCCCACCGTCAGCACCGTCAGCCTGGGCTCACACACCCTGCTGGACTTCTACCGGCCCGTCAGCGGCCTGGAAGGGGCGGAGCCACAGACCCAGCAGAACCGCTACCTGTTCTCCCTGCTGCTGAGGCCGCGCAGCCTGCTGGTCCTGCAGGACGACATGTACCAGAACCTGCAGCACGGCATCCAGGAGCGGGACCGGGACACGTTGACCCGGCAGGTCCTGAACCTGTCTGCCGCCGAGGCCCGGTCCGGGGAAACGCTGCTCAGGGGAACCCGGGTGTCCCTCACCATCAGACACGTCCCCAAGGTGGTCAGAACCAGGCTGGTTCTGGGGAGGAGATGAGAGGCTGGATGTGACCGGGTCGGCGCCGCAGGTTCTGAAAAACTGGAACCAGAACCATCAGCCCTGCTCCTATAAAATCATCAGAGCCGCAACGTTCCAGATCGATTCAGCAGCTTTAAAGACTGATTAAAGGCTTTTATTTTGGAGGGACTTGTTCTTGTTTCCATAGTAACCAAATCAAACTAAAAGTTCTTCCTGAAATCTACAGAATAAACCCAGAATGAGACGAACCAGAACCTGCTGGTTCTGATCAAATCAAATACCAGTGATGGTGAGATGGACTAACTGCTGCCACCTGGTGGACAGTAGCTGTAAAAGATGTAAAGATGAAACTTTAAATTAAATGTTTTCTGATGCAAAAAAGTTCTGATGGTGTCATTATGAGAAAAACCAATGGAGAGATGGTTCTGTTCTGTTTTCATAACTTTTCTAAAGTGTCGGGCTTCATGCGGTTCCCCTTAGTGGACGTTTAGAACCTTAACATGAAAATATGATAGATTATTAAAGGAAAAGTCGCTCATATTCAGAATCCAAACGTCTGAAAGTTCTTTAAATGTGAAATTATTCCGTCCTGTTCAATAAATGATCAGTGTTTTTAATTCAGAGTCATTTTCATGTGAATGTGCTTTACTGGAGGCATCCATGTTTGTCAAAGAACACTACTGCCACCTACTGGTTAGTGACATTGTCACGGTGCGGTATCGGCTGTTGATCAAGTCCCAGTGCTGTATCTGGTGTTTGTCACAACGCGCTATTATCCAAGTCATCTTGAAAACATTCTTCTTCCAAATGTTGGCTACATATTACGGGTTTTTTCTCTGGCCAGAAGTTCGATGGCAAATCCTCCCTCTTCAAGTTGGCGATCCAACGACCAACCCGTCCGTGGAGGATCAGGAATCAGAAAGGTGGAATAACTCTTTTTTTCACTTTTACCCGATGTATTCCAGCATCCAGCTGCCATGCACGTGGGCATTGTCAGTTTCACTATAGCTCTGGTGAATTTCAATGGTGAAGTCCTCTGGAAATCTTCAATAATTGTTGTTGATTGCAGATGTGTCTAGTAGTTCCCATTGATTTAGCTTGGAAAGCGGGGAGAATGGCGCTAGGCTTACTGCACCGTGACGTCACTGCTGGAAGATGGCAGGAGGGAGGGGCTACTAGATTTGGGCAAAAATGGCCGCTCCCAGACTCAGTGACCGTTACGAAAATTAATTACATTTTTTTACTCATTAACGCTGAATTCATTAAATCACTGCAAACATTTTAGTTTTAGGAATAAATAATGATCAGACTTTTCCTCTAACATGATGACTCGATGAGATGAAAGGAGTCTGATCTTCTACTGCTTGGTTGGAAAGAAAACCTGCTGGAACCAGTTTGAGATCTACGGAAGAGGATTAGGGCCACTAAAAAAAAGATTTTATTTCTTTATTTAAATTTTATTTCAGTGTAATGAGAAAAAAGTCAGAATTCTAACAGCTAACCAACATGTTAGCATCCAGCAGCAGCCATGTCTGTTTTAGAGATTAGCTCTATTGTTTTAATCACCTTCTGCTCCTCCTTTAATGAAATCACCATTAATGACACTCTGGAATATAAAAACTCACTAATTTCCACTATTTTTCACCAATGTTTTACTGTTCCTTCCAAACAACTCACACCTTTGTCAGTGAAGCCGAGTCCTCCACATCCTTCATGGTGCTCATCTAATTTAAGATTCTGAGAAAAAAGTCAGAATTCAGACTTTTTTTCTCATATTAAACTGAAATAATTTTTAAAAATCAGTTAACTTTATTTGATTTTTTTCAGTCTTCCATAGAGATCCCTAACCTGACAACAGCCAGATGCATGTCTCGCTCCGCCTAGCTCCACTCACATACATCTGGGAACCCGCCATAGGAATTGCCTTCACTGAAGGCTGGGCCTTATCAAAACTCCTTGCATATGATTGGATAAGCCACTTGTCTGTCATCTTTATTGACGTGCTATTTCAACCACTCACACCGAAGCTAACCCGTGATGCTGTGAGAGGAGGAGCCATTTGGTAGATCAAGCTCTTGCCAAATCCGGTCAGAAGAAGGGCGAAAACATCGTTTCCACCAACAAAAGCCTTCAAAGCCGTTTTTGATGTTCTTTTAATGAAACAATATCAGATAGATTGGACAACACAGAAGAAATAGCAGCATCAATGCTAACGCTTGCTTCCTCAATGCGAGCCGCCATTGTTGGAATCTCACGGTCGCTTCTCCACTCCAGGACACACCCACCCTGCGTCCTGATTGGACAGACCATAAATTCGGTTGGGGAAATCACTTTCAATGAGCGGGTTCCCAGATGTATGTGAGTGGAGCTGGGCGGAGCGAGACATGCATCTGGCTGTTGTCAGGTTAAGAGATCCTGTTCTAGACTGAAACTTCTAGATCTGTTTTTCTAGAATTAAACATTTTAGAAAAAAATCCTCCTTCCATTCTTCATCATCATCATCTGAATGTTCTGAATGAAGATTCTTTTCTATCGGGTCGTTGTTCCAGAACCGTTTCCCTGCTTGGTTCAGTCCTCCAGGTTCTGGAGGTTCTGACCCGTGTGGAGAACCGGACCTGAGAGGGTCTTTGTTCTGGAGACGTTAGGAACCAGAACGGTTGAATATCTGCTGTGGTTCTGATCCGCTTGGTTCTGATTGACCCGTTTGTTCTGTGGCAGGAGGACGGCGCCGCCATGGAGCCGCAGGTGAAGCGCCGGAAAGGGTCCGATTGCGGCGGTTCCGAGTCCTGGGTGGCCGAGCCGGTTCTGTCCGATGAGCAGTCGGCGGACGTGGAGCTGGTGGCGGTCTACGCCGCGCCGGTCCTGGACAGGAAGCAGACGTCCCGGCTGGTCCGGCAGCTGAACGCCGTCTTCCCGCTGGACGGCCTGCAGCACCTCAAACGGGTTCGGACCGCCCGGGACCAGAACAGCCCCCACCCTCTGGAGGTTCTGCTGTGCCGGAGCGGCGAGGCCGCGGACGCCGCTGAGCTTGGCTCCCTCCTGCCCTCCGACGGGAACAGCTGGGAGGGACTGGGCCGGCCGTTTGTGGTTCTGGTTCCGGCCCGGCCCCCGCTGACCCGGCCTCAGTTCCAGCAGGCCAGCAGCTTCTGGCCCACCTCCTTCCACGAGGACAAGAGGGTGACGGAGGCCCTGAGGGGGGCGCTGTTCAGCCCCCAGCAGAGGGCCGCCATGACGTCCTTCATGGTCGCCGCGGTAACCGTCGCCAGGGCGGCCGCCCGGCTGGGCATGGAGGCGGTGGGCGCCGCGGTGGTCGACCCGGAAACGGAGCGGGTGGTCGCCGTGGGACACGACCTGAGGGGGGAGCACCCGCTGCTGCACGCCGTCATGGTCTGCATCGACCTGGTGGCCCAGAGCCAGGGGGGGGGCTGGTACCGGAACCAGAACCGGTACCCGGCCTGCAGCTTCGCCCCCGCCGGGCAGCAGGGCGGCGCCGAGCCGTACATCTGCACCGGCTACGACCTGTACGTCACCCGGGAGCCCTGCGTCATGTGCGCCATGGCGCTGGTCCACTCCCGCATCGGACGGGTCTTCTACGGTACCGGCTCGGCCCACGGCGCCCTGGGCTCCAGGATGAAGATCCACGTCCACAAAGACCTGAACCACCGCTTCCAGGTCTACAGCGGCGTGCTGAGGGGGGAGTGCCAGGCTCTGCAGGGGGACGCTTAGACCAGAACCAGAACTTACGACCTTTTTTATTCTAAATAAAGTTTTAGTTTTTATTTTCTGATCTTTTTATTTATTTGCAGCTAAAATGATTTAAATTCAGAGTTTAATCAGAACCATCAGATTCTACGACCCGAACCAAGCAGCTGGTTCTGGTTCCTCCTGTCCGCCTCCAGAGGTCCAAACCGTCTCAGCAGGTTCAGATCTACAGTTCAAAGGTCAACGCTCAGAACCGAGTCCATCTGAACCGAACCCGACCAGCGGGTTCTACAGTGGCCTAGTCAAAGTCCAGACCTCCAGTCCCAGATTTATCGGGTCCAACAGAACCTCTGCCATATTCAGCGGACTGCGACGGGAAGAACGGGTCGGATCGCTCGTTCAGAACCTTCGCTCCACCTAAAAAACAGACGGTACCGTCTAGGTTCTGATCCAAACACATCAACCAGCGAGTTCAGCACCATAAAGCAGAACCAGGAGCGTTGCCATGGGAACAAACATTTTATTAGACCAGGATCCAGAAGGACGACCCGGCAGCGGCCCAACAGAACCGAGCCGCTGCTCCATCGTGGTTTTTTTCTGCCTCCATCAGTAAACAGAGATCTGCTGATTCCAGAACAAACGTCCACAAACATCGTCAGCCTGAGCCGGTCCGGTCCGATCCAATCCGGTCCTAGCCGATCCGGTCCGGTCCGGTCCGGCTGGGGAAACCATGCAAACAAAGAGCGGTTCTACTGGGAAACCAGGAAGGTACCGATCAGTTCAGAGTAAACATTTCTCCTCCTGAGAGTCACTGAGGTCCAACAGAACCCGACCCGGGCCAGCCCAGGTCCCCGCGGGTCCAGAACGCCGTTAAATACTCATAAGTTACTGATTCACATCATGTCCTGCGGTCGGTTCCGGTTCCGACCCGTTAATACTTGTTGATGCCCAGAATCCTGACGCCGTGCAGCTGAGGCAGCTTGGGGATCAGAACGCTCAGCAGAGACGCTGTGTTGATCAGGAAGTGGGCGGAGTCATACTTGGAGTAGAAGCTGGCCAGGAAGTACCTGAGGAAGAGGAGGAGGAAAGGTGAGCGGAGGTTCTGCTCCTCCGCTATCGGAGGTTCTGATGGAGCTGGGTCCGTCACTCACAGCACGATGGGGGAGATGGTGAAGAACTTCCTGGAGGAGGTGAACTGCACGCCGTAGTCCAGCTGCTCCCAGTGGGTCAGCAGCCGCGCCTTGCCCTGGTCCGGCGTCTCGAACGGCGTTCCCTTCACCGCGTGCATGAACACGTACATCCCCTGCAGGAGGAAAGCATTCACACCCCGGGTCAGTTCTTCTCTAAAACCCGATTCAATCAGAGCAGACTGGGTGGAGGTTCTGATGATGGGTCGGTACCGTTTGGCACCAGGGACCGGTTCACAGGAATTCTGACCTACTCTTCCTCCTCTAGCGGTTCTGATCCGGCTCCAGCACAGCAGCCTGAACCTGGAGGTTCTTAGATTTCCCAAACCGTGGGAGGAGCTTCCAGAACCCGTCGGACCGGGTCTGAAGGTTTAGAAAACTGGATCTCTGATATCAAAGGAAGTTCTGGAAAATTCTGGTTCTGGTTTCTATGAGATCCAGTGGAAAATCCAGGCTCCATCTTTTGGTTTTTGAACTAATGAGAATTAACTCAGAACCAGAACATCCAGCTCTGATTCTGACCCGGTTGGTCCATGAGGGCCGACTGAGTCAGAACTCAGACCTTCAGGTTCGGTTCATTAACGGAACCATCTGATCCAATGAAGCCAGAACCTGTGGTTCTGTCTCACAGATCCTCCAGGTCCAGAAGCGGCCCAGACCATGACGCGACCGCCACCATGCTGCTTCTTAAAGTCGTAGGGAAGCGGCTGTTCCAACCGCTGCGTTTCCAAATTCTCCGGAGTGGTGCCCGACTTTACACCAGTGAATAAAGTGAATGTGATTGGTCGATTAGCAAGGGGGCGGGATTGTTGTGCCATCCTGCTAACCAGTTAGCATCTTAGTGCTAGCAGGTTCCCAATAGGAAATTCCATTGGGACCAAGAAGCACTAAATTGATGACTTAGAAACGACGCTGTCAAGGAACGCTATGGACAGCGGAAACATGGAAGAGGAGGAGAGTTTAGTGTCAGCATGAAAGCTGACATTAAAATGGGTTCTGAAGGCGGACCGGGTCCCAGTGGGGTCAGAGGTCAGAACCTGGATCTTACCAGGTTGTGGATGACGTTGGTCAGGGTCCAGACCACAGGGACGCTGAAGAAGGGGAAGCTGAGGAGGACGATGTGAAGGACGCCCACGCCGAGGGCGTAGGTCAGCCAGATACCGCGGCTGTTCATGACGCGGGTGTTGGGGTTCACCTCGCTGTGCGCCACGCCCACGTTCATCCTACTCTGCAGAAACCACAAAAAAACACCATTAGCGTCGCTGGGCGTCCGTCTGCTGCCCCGGAGTCTGGAAAGCAGGTTCTGGTTCTGGTCCGGTTTAATTCCTGGGTGAATTTAGTTCAGTTTCTGGGAATATCTGAGCAGCAGAGGAATAAAGCTGTGGGTCATTTATACCTGAAACAGATTCTCTTAATGGTTAACTGATGCAGCTACGGGGGGCGGGGTTAAGCTAAGCTACACAACATGGTGGCAAAAAAACAAGCAGGAGTTGAACATTAACAGCTGACAGATGGTGAACAGAACCTTTAGAGAAAACAGGACAGGATTTAATTTCTCATCTTCCACCAGAAACTGACTTTTAAAAAAATTTGGAACAAACCTGAGAAGCAGCTTCCAGTTTAACGCTTTTAATATTCTTTGGTTTTAGGCTCCAGGTTTTTCATTTCAAGGTTGTTTTTTCTGTTTTCTCTTCAAACTAGAACAATCTGTAATCGATTACACTCTTTCCTGTCATGTTTTATTTTTTAGTTTGTTGAACAAATAAAATATTAGAGCTGCTCAGAAACGGTGCAGATTTATCGGGTTTGTTCAGATCTGATGAGCAGCTTCTAAAGCTGCTGCAGAAAAACTAACACTAAACGGCTTACAGAACTGAACTTTGTCCTCTGACACACTTCCTGCTGCCAGAAGCGGATCAGAGACTCTGAGCTGCTGCATGTAAACAAAACCAGATCAGAGACTCTGAGCTGCAGCATAAAGAACCGGATCAGAGACTCGGAGCAGGAACATGTAAACGGAACAGGCTCAGAAACACGGAGCAGGAACGTGTAAACGGAACCGGATCAGAGACACGGAGCAGGAACGTGTAAATGGATCCGGATCAGAGACTCGAAGCCAAAACATGTAAACGGAACCGGATCAGAGACTCGGAGCAGGAACGTGTAAACGGATCCGGATCAGAGACTCAGAGCAGAAACGTGTAAACGGAACCGGATCAGAGACTCAGAGCAGAAACGTGTAAACGGAACCGGATCAGAGACTCGGAGCAGAAACGCGTAAACGGAACCGGATCAGAGACTCGGAGCAGAAACGCGTAAACGGAACCGGATCAGAGACTCAGAGCAGAAACGTGTAAACGGAACCGGATCAGAGACTCGGAGCAGAAACGTGTAAACGGAACCGGATCAGAGACTCAGAGCAGAAACATGTAAACGGAACCGGATCAGAGACTCAGAGCAGAAACGTGTAAACGGAACCGGATCAGAGACTCGGAGCAGAAACGCGTAAACGGAACCGGATCAGAGACTCGGAGCCCAAACGCGTCAACGGAACCGGATCAGAGACTCGGAGCCCAAACGTGTAAACGGAACCGGATCAGAGACTCGGAGCCCAAACGCGTCAACGGAACCGGATCAGAGACTCGGAGCAGAAACATGTAAACAGAACTGGATTAACATCTGGATCCCTTTATCCACCACTGCAGTGATTCCTACACATCAAACCTGCAAACTAAAGCTTCTCATCACGTTTTCAATCAGAAATAAAAACCAACTGAGATGAAATTATGTAAACAAGCTGATGATGCTGGATCCGTCTTTTTGTTAGAGATTCGTAGCTGATTAAATAATGCAAAAACTAATGATTACATAATTTAAAAAACTAATCAAATAAGCTTTAATGTGGTTTCGATATTCATTAAATTAAATGTCTCATAAATCCCCTGTTAGGTTTAAACCTAGCTTATTTTTTCCCCCTTTAATCCCATTAACCTGACATTTCTTTTGTTCCACCACATAGCCGGGCCCTTTGATCCTCCATATTGGATCCACCATAAGAACCGAACCTGATCCAGACTCTGAGGTCCATCTGCTGACTTACATGGAGCGGCGGCAGTAGCCGGTTCCCTGGTTTTTAAACCCTGTGGGAAGAATCGGTGTCCTCCGTGTTGATGTGGACAGACTGATCCGACCGGAAGTTGGTGTCGCGGTGAAAGCGGCTCAAAATATAAAACCCCCACAATTCGGTCCGCCTTTGACTAAAACCAAGAATTTAACCTTAATTTGGTTAATATAAAATTAAGTTAAAATGAGCACTAAAGCATAGTTTGTTTTATTTATTTCTAATTCAGGGTGAGGAGATATTTTTCGATAAAATGCTGAAATCCAGCCGTCAGGCTGAAGCCAAGCTAGAATGTTCTCAGAAGTTCTATTAAAGCCCGCCCCTCTCATCAATGCTGACCAATCAGCAAGCGGCATTGGGGGCGGGAGCGAGTTAGTTCCTGTTTTTGTGGCTCGTGCTTGTTGGGAGATTATAAAATGTGGAAGCGGCGCAGAGCGGTGAGTGCCTAGCCATTAGCTGTTAGCTAAATGATAGAGCTAAAGCTTACCCAGTTTAGGATAAAAAAACCGTTTATTAATAGCTTAATATCGCATTTATTCTGAGTTTATAAAACGCTTCCAGTCACGAATCCTATACATCTAAGCGTTAATGTTTTGTTGGACACTTTTTATTCGTTTCTTAGCATCGTTGTTATGTTAAAACCTGCAGAGTTGTATAGATAGATTTATTCATTTTTCTCTTCTTGTTAAACTTTGCATCGTTTAATCAAACAATTTCTGACATCAGAGGAAAAGGAAACATGTTGTATAACAGTTAGTGATGTACACCAACTGGAAAGAAGTCTGGCTGCTTCCAAAAACTAAAGAAATCTTATTGAAGTTAATCCATAACATTTATCCTACCAAAGTCTTTAACCAGAAACGCTTAAAAACAACAACATTGATGTCACTTGCAGCTTCTGCTGTAATAATCCTGAAACATTTATTCATCTATTCTGGAACTGCCCACTTATCCAGTCCTTCTGGAACGACATTTATTATTTAATTAAGAGAAAAATAGACAAAGATTTTCTTTTATTTTGGAAGACTATACTATTCGGCATTAAAGGAAATTGCAAGGTTCAACCAAAAAGATCAGATAAGGTATATTTAATTGAAGTTATTATTATTATGGCCAAGTTCTTTATACATAAATGTAAATATAGAGGCTCCAAACCGACATTAATGCTTTTAAGCACGAACTTAAACAATATATTGACACCACACAATTATCAGAAAATAAGAAAGCAACCAAAACTTGATAAGCCTTTGTCCCTTTTAAAATTATTTAGAGCGCTGTTTTCCCCCTAGAGTTAACTTTTGTTTAATAGATTTAAGATCTTAATTTATTTTTATTTTTTCTTGTCTTTTTTCCTTATTGTTTCTTGTTTTGCACAAAACGAGGTCATTTACTTGACTGGTAAAAATGTGAATTTACAATTGTTGAAAATGTCTGTAAATAATTGTTGTTGTGAATTCCTATAGTGCAATATGGTTGCTCTGTGTTGTTCTTTGCAGAAACAAATAAAGTTGTATAAAAATAAAAACAGTTAGTGATGTTAAAGAGGCTCATTGAAGCCAAACTGTAGTGATTCGGCGTTGATACTGTCTGTCTGGCAGAATACTGACACCTGCTGGACATTTAAAAACACTGCAGGCAGCTCATAATTTGATGACCTAGTGCAGCGCTAGGCAATTAAAAATCATCAACCAGTAAAGGTCCGGAGACATTTTTTTATTATAACTTGTCATAATAAATAGAATTTAACACCGACATAAAAAAAAAAACAGATTTACTCTGGGAAATTTTATTTTTAAAGAATCACCGCTTTATTGTTTTATTTCTGCATTAGGATCAAAGATAAAACGTTTTAAAGCTACAGTGTGTAATAATTACAGGCATATAAAGTCAGAAATTTAATATATTATACATAACTATGTTATTTATCATCACCTATGAGCTCAGCCTTTTAACCATAATATTTGCGTTGCCTTAGAATTCGTTATTTATAATTACATAGGAGCGGGTCTCGCAGCCATGGAGGCTGACATCTTTGCGCTACGGCAAGCGCAGAGGCAACAAACTAGCGATTGCGAGATCTCCCATGACGCTCAAAAATAACTACGGCAAGTTGAGAGAGATGAACTGAGACGGTACTGAACAATAGATGGCAGTATTATGCCTGAGAAGCGTTTAGTCTGCCTGAAACCAAAGAAGAAGAAGAAGCAGGTATACTGCGCATCAGTAACAAGAAAGGTGAACAAGGCGGCAGGCGTGAGTGACTTTGCAAACTGTTTGGCCAAACATCAGACGAATGGAGGATCATGCCTACTCTGTATCACAACGAAAAACGGCGGACACCGAACCCCCGTCATCTAAGAAGTGGAAACACGACGAGAATAAACACAAGCGTGACAAGAAACGACAAAAAACACGGATCAACATTGGCACGGCATTTACACGATGGAAGTCACTGATGGAGGAAAAAGGTTTTCAAAGTGACGCTCAAGTTGCCAGTTTTCTCTTGGACAGGTAATTAATCCTACACACACAATTGTCTAATATCACTGCAGTTTTTGGAGTACAGGATGCTCAGACCTGTCTAAAACAATAACATGCTGCGGCGTGATGATGCTGTTCCTCTCCAGTATACTTATTCAGCAACGTCCCTGACGTTTCATAGGTAATGATTCAGTAATTTTCTGTAAAATAATTTTCTGGATATATACCTCGGTTACTTCTCTCCGGCTCCTTTGGAGATCTTCAAGCGTTTCCTCCTCTGCTCTCACCCCGCTGGCACCCCTCTCTCGCCTGGCCCTAGCTGCACGCTCACCCCGGCCTCTCTGCCCTCTTCCTCGCCCTCTTCCTCTCCCTCTTCCTCGCGTTGTAACCCCCGTGCCACAAACAAGACTTAGACTCTGTAAACGGGGAATATATATTCTTCCAGCGAACACAATCTCGCTGTTAAACTAATGACTACCATTACTTCGTCTGTTTATATCACCATGCAAAGCAGCTCACCAAAACGTCACAACGATGTAGAAAAAATAACGGGTATATTTATTATCTTAAGTCTACATGAAATCTATACCCTAAACAGACTAATGAAATACTATCTGTAAAATTATCTATGTAAACAAACCTCATCACTTGAGAGGGTAGGTGATGTGGACGTCGTGGAAGAAATTTTGTCCCGTAACGCTCGCCGTACTGTTGGGGGGGAGAAGCGGTGGGGGGGAGATGTTCATGTTGCTGCGGTCTGCAGTCTGACCGCTAGATGTCGCTGAAAATTACACACTGTAGCTTTAATGGAAATAAAAGTTTGTCCAAAAGGTAAATCCTTTTATTGTCCCATAATGGGGAAATTAACTCTCTGCATTTAACCCCTCCCCTTGGGGAGCAGTGGGCTGCCATTGTTTGGCACCCGGGGAGCAGTGTGGGGTTAACGGTCTTGCTCAGGGACACTCCAGTTGTTCCATAGCAGCAGCTAAAGCCTGTTTTTTCAATTTAATATCTATATTTTTAGCAAATCTTCCCGTCGTTTTCACCCTGAATCGTCGATCCTGTGACCCCGTGACCTTTGGACGGAGGGATCATGAAGCAGCTTCCTGCAGACACGGTGCGGCTGCTGTCCAGCTCCCAAGTCATCACCTCTGTGTTGAACGTGGTGAAAGAACTGATGGAGAACTCTCTGGACGCCGGAGCCTCCAGCATCGACGTCAAACTGGTGCAGACTGGTGAACCGTTCTCTGCCTGAATGAACCGTTCTCTGCCTGAATGAACCGTTCTCTGCCTGAATGAACCGTTCTCTGCCTGAATGAACCGTTCTCTGTCTGAATGAACAGTTCTCTGTCTGAATGAACCGTTCTCTGTCTGAATGAACCGTTCTCTGCCTGAATGAACCGTTCTCTGTCTGAATGAACCGTTCTCTGTCTGAATGAACAGTTCTCTGTCTGAATGAACCGTTCTCTGTCTGAATGAACCGTTCTCTGCCTGAATGAACCGTTCTCTGTCTGAATGAACCGTTCTCTGCCTGAATGAACCGTTCTCTGTCTGAATGAACCGTTCTCTGTCTGAATGAACAGTTCTCTGTCTGAATGAACCGTTCTCTTTCTGAATGAACCGTTCTCTTTCTGAATGAACCGTTCTCTGCCTGAATGAACCGTTCTGTCTGAATGAACCGTTCTCTGCCTGAATGAACCGTTCTCTGCCTGAATGAACCATTCTCTGTCTGAATGAACCGTTCTCTGCCTGAATGAACCGTTCTCTGCCTGAATGAACCGTTCTCTGTCTGAATGAACAGTTCTCTGTCTGAATGAACCGTTCTCTGTCTGAATGAACCGTTCTGTCTGAATGAACCGTTCTCTGCCTGAATGAACAGTTCTCTGTCTGAATGAACCGTTCTCTGTCTGAATGAACCGTTCTCTGCCAGAATGAACCGTTCTCTTTCTGAATGAACCGTTCTCTGCCTGAATGAACCGTTCTCTGCCTGAATGAACCGTTCTGTCTGAATGAACCGTTCTGTCTGAATGAACCGTTCTCTGTCTGAATGAACAGTTCTCTGTCTGAATGAACCGTTCTCTGTCTGAATGAACCGTTCTCTGCCTGAATGAACCGTTCTCTGCCTGAATGAACCGTTCTCTGTCTGAATGAACCGTTCTCTTTCTGAATGAACCGTTCTCTGCCTGAATGAACCGTTCTCTGCCTGAATGAACCGTTCTCTGTCTGAATGAACCGTTCTCTGCCTGAATGAACCGTTCTCTGCCTGAATGAACCGTTCTCTGTCTGAATGAACCGTTCTCTTTCTGAATGAACCGTTCTCAGCCTGAATGAACCGTTCTCTGCCCGAATGAACCGTTCTCTGTCTGAATGAACCGTTCTCTGTCTGAATGAACCATTCTCAGCCTGAATGAACCGTTCTCTGCCCGAATGAACCGTTCTCTGTCTGAATGAACCGTTCTCTTTCTGAATGAACCGTTCTCAGCCTGAATGAACCGTTCTCTGCCCGAATGAACCGTTCTCTGTCTGAATGAACCGTTCTCTGTCTGAATGAACCGTTCTCAGCCTGAATGAACCGTTCTCTTTCTGAATGAACCGTTCTCTTTCTGAATGAACCGTTCTCTGCCTGAATGAACCGTTCTCTGTCTGAATGAACCGTTCTCTTTCTGAATGAACCGTTCTCTGCCTGAATGAACCGTTCTCTGTCTGAATGAACCATTCTCTTTCTGAATGAACCGTTCTCTGTCTGAATGAACCGTTCTCTGCCTGAATGAACCGTTCTCTTTCTGAATGAACCGTTCTCTTTCTGAATGAACCGTTCTCTTTCTGAATGAACCGTTCTCTTTCTGAATGAACCGTTCTCTGCCTGAATGAACCGTTCTCTGCCTGAATGAACCGTTCTCTTTCTGAATGAACCGTTCTGTCTGAATGAACCGTTCTCTGTCTGAATGAACCGTTCTCTTTCTGAATGAACCGTTCTCTGCCTGAATGAACCGTTCTCTGCCTGAATGAACCGTTCTCTGTCTGAATGAACCGTTCTCTTTCTGAATGAACCGTTCTCTTTCTGAATGAACCGTTCTCTGTCTGAATGAACCGTTCTCTGCCTGAATGAACCGTTCTCTGCCTGAATGAACCGTTCTCTGTCTGAATGAACCGTTCTCTGCCTGAATGAACCGTTCTCTGCCTGAATGAACCGTTCTCTGCCTGAATGAACCGTTCTCTGCCTCTTGCCTCTGAATGAAGCCATGCATAGAGAGTTTTTCTGTGATCTGGTTTCCAGGAACGTTCCCGTGCTTCAGCCTCTTAGTTCTGCTCTGTTTGCTGTTTTAAAGGAAAACTTTGGACTGGAGCGGACCGAGGTCCGGGACAACGGCTGCGGCATCAAAGCGGTGGACGCTCCGGTCATGGCCGTCCGACATTTCACCTCCAAGATCTGCAGCCATGAAGACCTGGAGCGTCTGGAGAGCTACGGCTTCAGGGGCGAGGCGCTGGGCTCCATCTGTGCCGTGGCTGAGGTCAGTTTCGATGAATCGTCGGCCCGTCTGCGGCGGCCAGGGCTTCTTAAAGTGCAGCAGTGATCAAATGTAAACCGTGTTGCACTGATGGCAGCTCAGCTGGTCTTGGTTCTGTTTCCTCCTCAGGTTTCCGTCACCACGAAGACCCAGGAGGACGACATCAGCACTCAGTACACCCTGGACCACACTGGGAGGGTGGTCTCTCAGAGGCCGTCCCACCTGGGTCAAGGCAGGTCACCCATGATCGTCTGATGGTTCCGGACGCCGTGGCGGCGCCGCAGAGCTGACCTCTGCTCTGTTGTTCTGCAGGAACGTCGGTGAGCGTGACAAAGCTCTTCAAGAACCTGCCGGTCAGACGGCAGTTCTACTCGTCCACTAAGAAGTGTAAGGAGGAGCTGAAGAAGGTCCAGGACCTGCTGATGGCCTACGCCCTCATAAAGCCCGAGCTCAGGCTGATGCTGGTGCATAACAAGGTCCGTACCAGGCAGCCATCTTGGATTTACTCTCAGTCTACAGGACCAAAACTATTATTAGCATTTTAGTCATTACCATATGCGATAGTTTTGGTCGACTAAAACTTAAAAAGGTTTTAGTCTAGTTTTAATTTTGGTAAAAAAAGTGAAGCTTTAAAATTTGGAATAACAACCAGATTCTTTCCCCGCCTGCAGCTCTATCCTAGATGCTACACTAGCTGGGTATAGAATGCTGCTGTTGGGTGGAAACTTTGATTTATAGAATTCAAATCAACTATTTTATGAATTAATGCTCTACTTTATAAAAAGGTGTTACACAAAAGCTGTGAAAATAGTAGATCTAGTTCAACACATCATATTCAGACAAGCTAAAAAAATGTCCAATAAAGGAATTATTTTAGACATCCAGGGTTTACATCCTGAAGCAAACACTTCCTGATCTACTATCAATTATGCATTAAACATAGATCTATAAAATCTGCATTGCTGCAAAGAAGCAAAGAACAAAAACTTTGGTCATTTTGGTTTTACCTCTAAGGATTTGTCCCTTGGTTAAACGCTGCACCAATTAATCAGATTAATCGATTCTTCAAATAATCATGAACTAATTTAGTAATAGATTAATCGTAAACTGGAGCATAGAGTCTGTAGCTGAAAGAGCGACTCAGAGCAGGAATTATACCCAGAGTGGGAAAAATATATAAATATTTAGCTTTTAAGATAAAAAAGACGTTTTCATCTGTCAAGCTGCTCTATCCAGAACTCCTCAAGTGGAAAAGTTTTAGTTGCACCTGGTTTGGTTTCGCAAAAAATCTTCTTTAAGGAACTTTACTATGGAGAACTAACTCTGCCATATTTAAAAATAAATAAAGAAATAAATAAATGCTCAGTAAATAAATAAGCATACAATTAATTGCCACCAAAAATACAATAAACAAATAATGTAGGTAGAAATTAAATTCTACAGTGAGACATAAATGTATATGACTCTTTTAATCAGCTTCTTTATTTATTTAATATTTACCTTATTTTTTTGCCTTTTATAATCTTCAACTTTATTTTTTAAGTATTTATTTATGTGCATGTTATAATATTTTTGTCTGTTTTATTCTTCCTTGGTATTTCTTTACCAAAGTTATTTATTTCACCGCTATTTATTTCTGTTTGCATTTCTGCCTCATTATGCAAATGAGGAGGGGGCGTGTCCTAGAGAGTCATCGGCCGTCGATTTTATTAATCAATCCCATTTTCTTTAAAAAAATCTGAACTTTTAAGATCAGATAACTTTTTCTGATCAAGTATTTTAAACTAATTCAATAAAGAAGAAACAATTAATTCTAATAATGGAATCTCTCAGTTGAAGCATTTCTCCATCCCCACCACTAGGTGTCCTCATTGCACCTTCAGACTGAGCTCCAGCAGCAGAGTTAGAAACTCAGCTGGACTGTTGATCAGTGAGTGAAGCTCTGATAGAAAGTTTATTGGAGGGGAAATAAAAACGTACATCAGCAGTTCTGACTGAAGCTTTCTGCAGCAGCTAGTTTTCTGTTTCATTTCTTCTGCTCTTCATGACCCCAAACCTCCCTGGTTTATAGATATTAAAACCTACCTAAGTGTCATTAAGGCTAAATATTTACCAAAAGAAACAAAATTTTCCACTAAAAACTTGGAAAAATTCTGGAAAGGAGAAAAAAAGCCATCCAAAAGAAAATTTCATTCTGGCTGATTTACTCTAAACGAACTGATTCGACCAATCGGACGCATCTATTTGGAGGCTTTTTGGTTCCGTCTTTTCATTTTATAGAGCTGTGAATGTAGATGCTGTCTGCTGTGGCGCTCCTGCAGCGTTCCTGTGTGGTGCAGCAGGTCATCCAGCCGTGGCGGTGTGTCCGCTGATTCGTTCACAGACGTTTCAGGGAGGATCTGTTTCCAGGCTCCAAACTGCGTCCCATCAGGTCCAGCAGCGGTTCCTCCTCAGGCTGCTGATGTTTTCTCAAGGAGGCGTTTGTTTCCGCAGGCGGTGCTTTGGCAGAAGGCCCGGGCGGCCGACCTGAGGAGCGCCCTGGTTGCTACGCTGGGGTCCGGCGCCGTCGCTAACCTGCTGCCATGCCACCAGGAACAGCCAGAGGTCAGTTTAAACGGGTACATTGGGTTTCATTCATCAGGCCGCTCTGGGTCCCTGAGCAGGACCCCGCCAACGGCCCCTTCTCTTCTTGAGGAGCTACTAACCGGTCCGTCTTTGATCCGCTCCTCTATGGAACTGATCCTCTGATGTCTTCAGGAAAGTCTTTTAAAGCAGAGCGCTTTTAGCTCATCTCCTGTTTTAATGTTTCAGTTGTTCCTGAAACCCAGTGGCGCCACCAGGGGGTGGCCAGCGGTGGCCAGTATAAATTGTAGCAGCATCTGTTTATTATTTCATCCCATTCTGCACAGCCAGTGACATAACATCAAAAATCACACAATAAACCAAGATCTGAGGAAGTGTTGCTAAAGTCTTTATCATTTCCAAAGGCAGCGGATTGCTGTGGCGGAAAGTTCTTTGGTTGTGGCCGGTTTGTTGGAAGACTCTTGCTAACCAGTTAGCAACTTAGTGCTAGCAGGTTCCCAATGGGAAATTCCATTGGGACCAAGTAGCACTACATTGGTGACTTAGAAACGACGCTGTCAAGGAACGCTATGGACAGCGGAAACATGCAAGAGGAGGAGAGTTTAGTGTCGGAGGTCGTGGATGAGTCTCCTCCGTCATCCATTTTTTATTTAGAGGAGGAAAGCGGGGACCAAGATGTTGTGGAAGAGGACGCCAGGGCGGCAGAAGCTTGGTTTGGTGTAGAAGGCTTCCAGCCGTACATGTTTGAGCCCTTGCCTCGCAACGCTGCCAGTTCTGTTAGCTCTACGCCTGCCGAAGACACAGACGTCCATCCCCGTGAACACTGGGACGCAACTCAATGGGAAAGGAAAGGATTCTGATTTCAACCGTTGCGTATATTAGCTGCGACACATGAATCAAGATGCTATGACGAAAACGAAAACATTTGATTGACAGATGAGCATTGATATTTGATTGGCAGAATTTAGGTGTTCAGGCTGACGTTGAACTAACTGGCCTGCAGAAGATAACGGAAAAAAACCCACTCATTTTAAGACAGGATTTTTTAATAATAGATTTTGGGACATTTTATTTAAGCTAATCTGACATTTAAATATGATTTTTCTACCAGAAATGGAATCTAGAAGGGGGGGGCCCAGCATGAGCCTGAGGCAGATCAGCTGATCTGGACCAACCGCCCGGCTGCCCTTTTCTCTCAGCTCCTTCCTGATGAGCAATGAGTGATTTTCTGTTAGCTTTGCTGCCGCTAATTGAATTAGCGTGGCTGTGTGGCTTTCTGCCCGCTCATGGTCGGCTCTGACCCCCCCCCCCCCCTCCAAAACAATCTGCTCTGACAGATGTAGAGCAGCCCCCCCCATCCTCCTTGTTGTTTTGCTGCACGTTGCCCGGTTATGAGAACGACCTTTAACCTTTCCCTCCTCCTTCCTGTTGATCGCTGGAGGTTCTGGTACCGGACTGGGAGTGGCTCAGGTCGGGTCCAAACGCTCACACAGCAGAACCGGGATAAAGAAGCTGAACATTAGCCTCCATGAACAAGCTAACCTTCATGCTAACGTCTGACTGCAGCCGCTGGTTTCTGCTGAGTCAGCGGTTCTGGTTCCGGACGTGTTTCAGGAACAGAGGAGCAGAAAAGAGCTTCTGTGACGGATCAGAAATCAAACGCTAAAGTTTTCACCCCCCCCCAACCTGTAGCTGACAGAGAAGGAATCATGACTCATCATTTTCTACACATGGAAATCTAAAGGTTTCAAACTTTTGGGTTCTGGTTCCTGATTTAAAGTCCAGTTCTAGCAGAACCCAGATGTTCTGGTTCTGTCCTCAGACGACCTTCAGGGCAGTGTGGCTTTAAAGCAGGGGCCGCGGGCCCCAGCAGGGCCTCCAAGCTACTGTTCATCACATAGACATTCTATACGTAGACGCTTCATTGGACGCTGTCGGCAACGAGGCAGACGTGCCTAGAGGGTCGGCCATCTTGGATGGGACCACAGTTCAGACCGCTCCTCTACGTCACAGCCCCTTAAAAAAGTTTAAGACTTCAGTTGGATTACAGATTTATTCAGATTAAACTGGATGAGATTCATGCAAAGTTTTATATTTTGCTAATAAATATTAATATGATGAACACAAAGTTTTATATTATTATAAGATGTTTTAAATATATAGTATTATATTATCATTCAGTATTTTTAAGGATAATGAGTATTATGGTCTATAGAGGAAAATTTGTTGTAATGTGATTTAAAAAAGAGAGTAAAGTTATTATTTCGTTTTTTAAAATGAATTTTAGCTTCATTTTTATTTTTTGTGATTGTCCAGACTTTGTCAAATCATAGTGAATAGTAAAGTAATGTTTTGTCTAACTAATGGCTTTTTGTCCTCATAAGTTTGTCTTTTCAAACTGTTTTTTTATCATTATTTATGCAAATATAAACATTTGTTATTTAATCAGTTAATGATGTATAATATTTATATTTTAGAATTAGATTTGGTCTTTGAAGTGGTTGTGACATCTCAGAGATCATTTTAATTTTATCTCTGATTCGTCTTTAATGTGACCAAATGAGATCTAAGATATCTCCTGTTCATTCTGACAGCAGCTCTTCTTTCAGGTCACAGTTTATTTTTTATTGACTGTTTTGCTCTGTTCAAATATCATTTGATTAAAGCCTGATATCATATCGGGTTAATTTGGGTAAAGGCGAGTACTCAAAGCTGCAATATTAGTATTATTTCAAAAAGAAAATATATATGACAAGTGTCTGAACTGTGGTCTGATCCAAGATGGCTGCCGTCTAGGCACAGCGTCCAATAAGGCGTCTGCTTATAGAATGTCTATGGTTCATCACTGCAGGACTTCACAGAAAATTACCAACATGCGTGAATCTGCTGCTGGCTGCAGCTCTCTCTCTCTCCCTCTAGGTGGCAGCAAACCCACTTTAAGTGGGTTTGCTGCCACCTAGAGGGCAGGAGGGGAAAGTCACGACTCCTGTCAGACTGCAAAACTGTTATATTGGAATTAACTTCCCAATCTGTCCTCAGAATTTATATTTTTTATGTTATTATTATTATTTTGTAAGTAATATATTGAAATGAAACTCCAGAAGATGTAAAACTTTCAGACTCAGACCAATGAGGCGCCGTCCTCCATGAGGTTCTGCCAGATGATTGGTCCTGCAGATGAAGCTTTCCCTGTGATGTTTGCTTTAACCTCCATCTTGTTTTCCATCCCAGATGGTTCTGGACGGCTTCCTGCCCAAACCGGGAGCCGATCTGTCCTCCACCAGCTGCTCCGCCTCAGAGAAAACCTTCATCTTCATCAACCGGCGGCCCGTCCAGCAGAAGGAGATCATGAAGGTGAAACCTCTGCCCTGCTGCTGTCCTCCTCCTCTCTGACCGTCCTTCATCTCTGTCCTTCTCCTCCAGCTGCTCCGTCAGCACTACTGCGCCCAGTACGCCGAGGACGCCGCCCGCCACCGCTTCCCCATCCTGCTGCTCAGCATCTCCGTCTCTCCTTCATCTCTGGACGTCAACCTGACGCCGGATAAAACCCAGGTCCTTCTGGATAACAAGGTAGGGGTCGGTTTCCCCGCGGCCCCCCCGGGGTCATGGAGGACGTCCTCTGACCGTCTGTCCCTGGTGTCCAGGAGGCGGTTCTGACGGCGTTGGAGGCTCTGCTGGTTTCTCTCTACGGGTTCCGCTCCAGTTCAGCTGAACAGCAGCTGAACCACGAGGCTCCTCCTCCTCCGTCGGCTCGATCGGAGGAGAAGGAGGACCAGAACATCTGGCTTTCATGAAGACGCTCCCACAGCAGAACCCAAACATGGCGGCGGTGCCGACCCTCAGGCTGCTCTGCAGCGCCAGGCCTCCAGCTGCAGCTCCTCTTCCTCCACGGCGGATGATTGGATCATCAACCCGCCTCCCAGCGAGATCTGCTCCGGTTCCTCTCTCTGTGGAGATGAAACCGCTGCGGCTCGGCCCAAACCAGAACAGACCGGTTCTGAACCGGAGAAACCAGAGGAGGAGCGTGAAACCAGGAAGATTTCTGCCCAGGACTGGAGCCGGGGGACGGCGCTGACCGACCCGGTCACAGGAGAACCCCTCCGACCCGTCCTGGTCCACCGGCCCTCTGGGCCCGGTTCCCCCGGCCCGCAGGAGGCCAGGAGTAAAAAGCTGATCAATTCTGTGACGGAGAAAGGAGCGACGCTGACGGCCTACGACATGATCAGCAGCCGCGCCATGCGGGCGCCGCCGTCCCCCGCCTCCCTGTTCGAGAAGGAGGCCCGGTCCGAGGTTCTGAGGGAGCGGCCCGCCGCCAGCCTGCAGGAGGTCAGCGCCGCCGTTCAGGAGAGGTGGAGAAACCTGAGGGAGGAGGACAGGAAGACGTGAGTTCCAGACTTTTCTAAAGTGGGCGGGGCCACAGGGATCAGGCTGCGTCTCACTCTCCTCTCTGTGCTGCAGGTATGAGGAGAAAGCCAAGAAAAAACACGACCTCCATGAGCAGAGGACCAAGCTGGCGTCAGACGGGGGCCCCCAGGGGCCGACTGAGAGGCCTAAAGCGCAGAGCGTGAAGCGCAAAGCGCCGCCGTCCAACCAGCAGCTGCTGGACGAGCTGTTCTCCGCTCAGCCCCAGAAGAAGACCAAGACTCCGCCCCCCAAGCCTTCGCGGCCCCTCCTCTGCAGCATGGCGGCCCTCCGCCTGAGGCTCCAGCGCCTGTCTTCTCAGAGCTCGGCGCCGCCCCGGGGCCTCCAGCTGGTGAACCGCCTGGGCTCCCAGAGCTGCTGGGCCGTCATGGCGGGTCGGAGGCTCCTGCTGTTCAACCCGTATCGAGTAGAAGAAGCTTTGCTGTTTAAGAGGCTCCAGGAGAACCACGTCCTCCCGGCGGCGGTTCTGCAGAACCCGCTCCGCCTCACAGACGGGTACGCCACCGTGATGCAGCAGAACGCCGCCATCTGATGCTGAGCTAGACGCTGAACTTCTATGTCTTCCAGGAACCTGGGAGGAGCAGAGTTTGAGACGCTGTGCAGCATGAAGAAAGGAGCAGCAGAGCTGGATGGAAGCGTCTTCTTCTCTGACCCCCGGCTGCTCGCCAACGGCTTCAGAGTCAGACTCCCAGCAGGTGAAGCTCCGCCTTCAGAGACACACATGCTAACAGAAACCGACCCGAGGGGCTGAGCTCTGATCAGCTACTGATGCTCATTTCTCCAGGAACTCTGAAGGTTTTCTTTCACTCTGAAGCAGAATTTCTGTTAGCATCCAGACGTCTTTTTCCACAGGAAGGAGCAATCAGCTAAGTGAGCTTAGTGCTTGGAAAAAATCTTTCATTCCTTTAGAGACAGCATGAAAAGTCAGCTGAGTACAAAACATAGAGAGGAAAACAAGAAGAAAAGGGACAAGAAGAGAGGGACACAACCTAGAACAGATAATGGATGTCTATTCTATTAACATTTCTCTATCTGGAGAATGGGGCTGTTTGATGTCTTCTCCATTCAGAGGGCCCCCTGCCTGTCTCTGCCTCAGGCCCTACATTTCCTAGATCCGCCGCTGTTCTTTAGTTTAATGAAAGTTTCTCCAGCAGCGGTTTCTGCTCCATCTCAACGTGCTTTCAGATCTATTCTAGATGATCTATGTGGACTGATGTCCTCCTGAACGCAGCCGTTCTGCCGCCTCATCGTCGCTCGGTGTGCGGTGATGGTTGTCGGTTCACCTCCGCTGCCATTGGCTCCCTGCCCGGCAGCGTGCTCTCACGGTAGGATCGGACCCCGATGGGCGGGGGGGATGAGAAAAGTTGCCCTTTAAGAAATTCCTGGAATTCCTCCTCCGGCTCGAACAGCCTCTGCTAGTCGGACGCTTTGACTCCTCAGTTTTGTCAGAAGTGGATTGTTGTTGAGACTTGATTAATGGGATTAGAAGCATAGACCTTCATAACAAGAAGCCAGAACCCAGCTGAGCCTGCAGCTCTGATCTCAGCTGTTTGTACCGCCATCGGTTCTTCTGATGGGAATATTCCTCCTCCGACTTCCTGCTTCATCCAGCTGGAGCGACTGACAGGTGACCTTTAGAGGTCAGGATGAAAGACTTTCATCAGGAGGCGAAAACATCTCTGAGTATCAGAGCTCTGCAGCATAATCCTAACCTGGCTTAATCTGGATCCATCCTTCTGTTCAATCTGAATCTATAGAAACGCTGCAGTAGAAAACGTTCGCTAAAGGCAGCGACATCGACTGCAGTTCTTCCAGCTGATTGGATGCCTGCCTCCCGGAGCTGTTTGCCAATCACAGCCGCAGTAGCAGCTCAGATGAACCATAACCTCGATTCGTTTCACAGCTAGCATCGTTAGCTGGTCGTTTCCAATCAGGAGCTACCTGCAAACATATTCCCATCCCTCTGATTGACGCGGTGATGTCACACAGGTCGCTGCATTCGATTGGTCTGTAGCCGTCAGCAGCAGCTCAATGGAAAATATCTAAATCTAGATGAGTCGTTTTTTCTTAAAATAAATGCACCTGTTCTTGTATTAATGAGGTAAAAGAGACATTTTGCCAACGGAACAAAACTATTTACACTTAAAATAAGAAAACACGATTGCATTGACTTATTTCAACTGCATATTATCTAATTATCTTATTTTAAGAGTAAAAACACTCATTCTGATGGAAATGTATCTCATTTGTCTGCTCAAATGAAGGGTAAATGTCACACAGTGCTCTCCTCGCCCTCTTTGTGATCCGATTTTTCTGCAGGATTCTTGTTCTTTTCTGCTCTGCAGCATTTTCCCCAGTTCAGCTTCTGAATCAGCCGGGCTTTGACTAGACCGCTGCAGCGCTGTTATTACAGCATGGTGACCCGTTACTCTGCAGGAGCTCATTCAGGGTTTCTGCGGGTCATTAAAAGTCATTAAATCATTATTTTTTAAATTAAGGCCTTAATTGACATTAAAATTCTTAAATGTGTTTATTGTGGCATTTATATGATCGGGAAGCTGTATGTTCAGAAAAGAAGCTTCAGTCGGAGAAAAAGTTAGAGAATGGGGGAAAAAGCTAATTTCATCAAAGTGGTTGAAAAACGAGGAATTCAGGACATGGCTGCAGCCTGTCGACGGGTAAATGTTGGTGGCATTAAAATAATTTCTAATAGCATTAAAAAGCATTAAATTAGAGTTATTCATTCCTGTATAAATGTTGTCATTAGGACGAGTTAATTCAGCTAATTCTAGCTGCTGCTCATTAAAGGAAAAGTCCGTCATACAACTAATATGTTCCTGGTGATTTGATGAATTTAGTGTTAATTAATTTTCATCAGAATCACTGAGTCTGGGAGCGGCCATCTTTGCCCAAATCTAGTAGCCCCTCCCTCCTGCCATCTTCCAGCAGTGACGTCACGGTGCGGTAAGCCTAGCGCCATTCTCCCCGCTTTCCAAGCTAAATCAATGGGAACTACTAGACACATCTGCAATCAACAACAATTATTGAAGATTTCCAGAGGACTTCACCATTGAAATTCACCAGAGCTATAGTGAAACTGACAATGCCCACGTGCATGGCAGCTGGATGCTGGAATACATCGGGTAAAAGTGAAAAAAAGAGTTATTCCACCTTTCTGATTCCTGATCCTCCACGGACGGGTTGGTCGTTGGATCGCCAACTTGAAGAGGGAGGATTTGCCATCGAACTTCTGGCCAGAGAAAAAACCCGTAATATGTAGCCAACATTTGGAAGAAGAATGTTTTCAAGATGACTTGGATAATAGCGCGTTGTGACAAACACCAGATACAGCACTGGGACTTGATCATCAGCCGATACCGCACCGTGACAATGTCACTAACCAGTAGGTGGCAGTAGTGTTCTTTGACAAACATGGATGCCTCCAGTAAAGCACATTCACATGGAAATGACTCTGTATTAAAAACACTGATCATTTATTGAACAGGACGGAATAATTTCACATTTAAAGAACTTTTCCTTTAAAGCAGAAAACATCCTTTTGATAAATAATTTTTTTTTTCTTTGTAATTAAGTTTAAATATAAATATATTCTCAGCATTTTCTTAATATATATCTAGTAAATTAATTTAATATTAGATTTATTTCTCTTTCAGTTTTTTATTTTTTATTTTATGCTTTTAATTTTTCGGTTGCTTTTGTTTCAATGCAGAAAAGATTTATAAATCAGGAAATTAATTAAATGCATTTAACCTTTAATTTGAATAATATTTTTATCTTTAAAATCAGGCAATTAGATAATATTTATTTTAAAAGGAGAAAGCATTTTTTTTCTTATTTTAAATTAGCTTATTCCGCTGCTCTGCCTCCTCAGTCAGTAAAAATGAGTGTCGGTTTGTATTTTTTGCAGCGTTCTGCTCGGAGCAGTTTTCCTCCTGAGGGTTTTCCTCTCTTCAGGTTATTAAATCAGAAAGAGAATTGCGGATGATTTACTGTATTTCCTCATAAGAAGTGAGGCCATCATTCTTCCAGCCTACTAGACAGCTTCCTTCCAGTCTGCTGGGGCTTCTATTAGTCATTTAACACTCCATTTGGCCCCGGCTCGGCCGTAAAGCTCTCTGTTTATTTATTATTCTTTCCTGGAGATCGCAGCGGCGTCTGGAGCATATTAATCCCTGTTCTCTGCTTGCTTTGGACAGGCCTCCCGTCAGCGGAGAAACATCTGGAAGTGGCGGCCATGGCCGACTGCGTGCCTTTTCTCGGCGTGGAGGACCTCAGGGAGGTTCTGAGCGCCATTCTTCACAGGAAGGCTTCCAGACCGCAGGACTGCCGTCCGCTCAAAGTCACAAACTACCTAAAAGTAACCCAGACGCCATCTTTGTTCTGCGCCTGTGGGTGAGCTGCGTTTCTGAAACAGACGGCGGTTGTTTCCCTCCGCAGGCCGAGGCGGTCCGGCTGGCCCGTCAGCTGCCTTCCAGTTTACGCCGCGGTGACGTGGAGGAGCTGGTCGGACGGATGGAGCGGCGGCTGGGCGGAACCGAACAGACCTGCATCCACGGGCGGCGGTTCTTCCATCACCTGGTCGACGTTCCGTCTACAGACGAGGAGGCGGAGGCTCTGCTCAGGCCTCTGGAACTCTGATGTCACACCTTACAGAAGCTCCTCCCTCTCCTCAGGTCGCCGCCGCATGGCGATGAATCTGCCTCTCGCTCAGTTAGTGAGAAACTAGAGGCTGGACTTTGACTAGGCCGTTCCAGCATCCTGGTTAGTGAACTGAAAGGCAGGTTTTTATAAATAAAAAGATTTAAACAATTTTTCCACTTTAACTCTTTAATCGAAAACATTAAAACGACCCGTTAGCTTTATAGCAACCTTATCAGAGCGCTACATGATGCTGCCACCACCGTGTTTCAGCTTGATGGATCTAAAGTCCAGCTTTGGGTTCCTCAGAGCTGCAGACGGATCCGTCAGACGTGGAGAACATCAGCGACAGTTTTCACTTCCAGACCAGTTTGTGATCAAATAATGAGGGAAAATCAAGCATGGCAGCTCAACCTGATTCACGACCAACTGGACGGCGTCAGAAGATGCTGATGTCAGAAGGGGCGTGGTCACTCTATGGTTAAAAGTAGCTGTTTGTTTTTAGGGGTGTGTAAACTTTAGCATCATCCACCTGATTCTAAGCGTCCAGCAGCAGCTGCTCTCTCAGGTGATCGCTGATGTTTTCCCGCCTCGCCGTCATGTTTAAGGTCTCCCTTTAAACCAGGCTGTATGTAGAACTGTTAGCGACCAACGGTCGGCTTCCATCTTTAAATGTCCAAATAATCAGGGACGAGTTTAAGGCAGGATTGACAGGTTGTTTGCTAAACTCCCTGCTGGACCAATGAACGGCAATAAAAGCACCCGGTCGGGGGCCCAGATGGGCAGCTGCTGAACGCTGCCTGTCTGCACCTCTGCTGTGATTTATCCTCTCCGCCTGCGCCGCGCTTGCTTTTCCCATTACAGAGGAGGAACGGCCAAAGCTGACAGCCACATGTGGGGATGCGGGACGTGATTAACGGCCGCGTTCGGCCGCTGCTGGAGGCGACGCCGCGGCTCTGTTTACAGAACGCTCCGGCATCCATGTTTGTTTGTGAGGAGGGGTCGGAGGGAGAGCCGGGGGACGCAGCTTCATCCTCTGAGGACGCGGCGATGACAGTGATGAAGAGCGGAGACGCGCTCCGAACACACAGGGGCGCGGAGGCGGATGTCAGCTACGTGTCAGAGAAGTTTGGACCGGTTCTGACTTCTGGGAAACAACACTTAGGGTCCAGTTTACAGCTGTGAGTGACGGCGGAGCAGCGAGCTGTTCTTTCCACATCTCGTCCTCAGCAGATAAATCCAGCCGCTGTCTGAACCCAGATGATGTAAAACACAACCGTCCGTCATCGCTTCTTCCACAGAGAGGAAAACTGTCACCATCTAAAGCCCATTTTCCCTGAAATCTCTTCCTCAGTCTCACCTTCAGCGCATCGTCTGATGGAAGCTGATTCCAACGATAAACAGCTGAAACAGAAGAAACTCCATTTCTATTGATTTTCCTTTAAGTTGGTCAAATCATAAAACCTCTGATTTAAATGGAAATAAAGCAAAGAGCAAAAATCCTTTTTTTCTTTTGTTATTTTCTATTTTTTAACTGCAGGGCGCCGTTTTTTTAAGTTAGGAGTCAAAAATTAGGAACAATATTTATGAAGTTTTTTCACTTCATTCATTAATTTATAAAAATCTTACTTTCTCAAATATTTAGTGTTGAGCTAAATATTTATTCAACTTATTAAATTTTTAGTTTGTTAAATAAATATTTACTTTGCAAATGAAATATTTATTTTGATAAATATTTAAATCCAAACTAAATATTTTATTTAACAAATAAAAATTTGTATTAATGAATTAATTACGTAGTGAAAAAAATGACTTGGAAAAAAATTGACCATCTTATTTTCTCTTAAAATACGCTAAATATGCATAAATATTGCTCCTAATTTTTGACAGTTTAACTTTACAAATGGCGCCTCATATTTAGCGGCTCAAAATAAAAACACAGATTTTAGGAAGTAGATCAGTTGAGGAGTGATGTCTGGTTTTAGATGCAGCTAAAGCCTAAAATTCTTCAAGCTGCGACTAAACCTGCAGCTTTTTAACACCCGTCGCATTTCTGGGAGCTTCAGCTCGTTTCTACCTGCAGTCCATCATACGACGCATCCGCCCCCTAGGAAAATACATGTTAGTGGACTCTAGGAGGAAGGAGGGGTACCCAGAGAGAACAAGAGTTTGCATGAGGAGTAAAGACCCGGTTCAAAGCCACGCCCCCCTTACTGCAGCAGCAGTTTAAAGCAAAGGAAGTGGCATCAAGGTCATTAAATAGTTCATGAAGATTAATAAATAAAACGCAAATAGGAAATGAATTAAACAAGTTGGACTGTAAACTTTAAAATCTGGATTTAAAGCTCTAGATTCAAATCTTTTTTCCAAATTTCTGGGGAGTTTATTGCAGATTAAAGTTCCGGTTCTGCGTGGTAGAGCAGATCCAGAGGACCTGAGAGGACTTGGAGGTGGATCCTCTGCAGTCTGGAACGTTCAACCCTGGAAGCATCCGTGCTCGCCACAGGAACATGGCGACGCGATGCACTGCTGCTGTACCTCAGTAGAAATTAATCCTCCCTTCTGGAAAACAAATCACTACATCGTTTTACATCATGCAGGTTTGGACAAACAATATCAGTTACAGTAGCAGCCGTTCAAAATGGCCGTTCCCAGTCAAACACCAGCCGAATGGAAGCCCACTTCCAGCCACCGGCCTCCTGGTTCTGCATACTGTTTTTCCTCTCACTCCTCGCTTTCACTGAGTTACAGGGTCTGACCAGGAGATGATGCTTCTCTTTAGATCTTAATGTCCACAAATCATGACAGAAAGAATATTTTAGTACAAATACTGACGTTTAAGAAAGGAATCTTAGGGGACCAGCCAAGGAAAGTTGGGAAAATGTGAACGGCTGCTACTGTAGGATGTAAATTCTATATTCAATCTGCTTTAGGTTCTTTTCTCATAATGAATGACATCAATTATTTTCCTCTGCAGAGTTTAGTTATGAATGAAATGATATTAGAGACGTTTAGCTTCTGAATACTGATGGTTTCTGTGTTGGGCCTCCAGTCCTTGACATTAGTAGCCTTTTACGTGTTCAGTTAGCCCTGATATCGCCATCCTGAACCGTTATTCAACTTCTGACTTTCCAAATGAAGGTTTGAGCCAAATCTTTGCATCTAAAACCAGCTGAGGTGAAAGCGATGCCTCGTTTCACATTAACTAACATAAAACCTTCCAGAGTCCATCCTTTGCATCCAGCCTGGACATATCTGCTCATGTCTGGATTGCGTTGGGTCTGGTCTTTCCATAGGAGTTAAAAAACAATCCGCTTGACTTTGTTTCCAAGTTTGAAGACGTTTCTCTTCCCATCCAAACTAGCAGTTTTAGTCCGTGAGGCAGACACCCTGTCTACTTTTAAGGCTAGGCTTAAAACTTTCCTTTTTGATAAAGCTTCTAGTTAGAGTGGCTCAGGTTATCCGGCTTACCGCACCGTGACGTCACTGCTGGAAGATGGCAGGAGGGAGGGGCTACTATATTTGGGCAAAGATGGCCGCTCTCAGACTCAGTGATCGTGATGAAAGTCATTATTTTTATTATTTTACTTATGCTAAATTCATTAATTCATTATCGCCGCAAACGTGTGAGTTTTAGGTATAAATAATGATTCATCGATTATTCCTCGCTGATTGGACTTTTCCTTTAACGACCACATCCGATCCGTCTAACCGCCGTGTCTAAAACCACACATCATCTCCAGCTGGAAGCCTGAACATGTCAACGAGTTCACTGAACTCCAGGGATGACGATCCGGCAGTGAACGTGTGATGCCATGGCGTCCGCATGGACCACAATCAGAGGAATGCTTCTGTCACCATGTTGAATATCGTCCATGAAGAAATCCGCTGTTTCTAACCAGAGGATGGTGATAATACATAAAACTGACACAGATTTATTTCTTCTTCTCCCCAAAGATGATGCAAAATCTTGTTCGGTTCATCTAGTTTCATATGTCTAAACAGAAGCAGGTGGTCTGAGTACTCGGTACTCCGTACGGCCGCTTCTTCCAGCAGATCCAAAAATAGAGCTGGAGAGGCGTTAAATATAGCTCGGGATTTTATTTAAAATTTGATGAGTCTGTTAAAGTCTATGGTTACTTCTGGGCTATAAGATCGCTGTATAAGTGGCCCAGCTGCTGACGGTGACCTGTGGCTCTGCACATTAAGGTAGTAACAGGAGAACAGAAATCTGTCTGATGACGTTTGTGAAATGAAGATGAGACATTTTACACGCTTTCCAAAACTGCCCTCTTTCCTAATCTACCTCCTGGGGGAGAAATCATTAGCAAACGCCTCATTTCAACAGCAGAAAGTCAATGAAAAACAGGTGGTTTGGAAGACAGCTGGCAAAATGAACCAGCGCTGACCTTTTAAAGAACCTGGTCACACGGTAAAAAGATGATCATCACCTAATCCTGCCCAATTACTCTGATATGTTCCTTGGATGCCGAAGGCAGTGCAAACACGCTGCTTCTCACATTTATGAGCAGCACGTATCCAAGGGTGACGAGTCTCAGCCAATAGCTGAAGTGGGCTTGGAGAGCTGAGTCAGGAAAGAGGCAGGAGTCTTCGCTGGCATTCGCTTTATTCCCAGAAGCGCTTTGCAGAGTCTGGGTCCTGCAGCAATGCTGAAGCCATCTGGGAGTTCTCTCAGCACAGGCCACATAAACCTCAACATGTGCTGCGGTTTGACCTTTCACAGCACTAACTATAATATTATCATAAGCTGAGGGATCAGGTTGCACTAGTCCCTGCGGTGGGATTCAGTATCCATATGTAGTGATGATAAGCCAAAACCTTCCCTGGCTGTTTGTATCCCTGACATCCAAATGCGAACACATGACTCTCAACACTTACTATTCACCGCTTACAGACTGCTTCTGTTTTTGCTTTTGGATTAATTACTGGTTTCAGATCAAACTTATTTTAAAACTAGACAAAGATATTTGTTGGAAACATAAATAGCAGCTTTGAAATGATTCCAGTTATTCAAACTGACTTGGTCTGTAGGGGCGAAGCCGACGCGTAAAGCCTCGGAGTGTTTTTAAACCGGAATCTTATGTTTGATGCGCATTTGCCGGGGCGAGATGGTAAACAGGAAATGTCCAGA